GAGTGTTATTTTTTATGAACTGTGTGAGTTGAGTGCGATGAAATATCAGGGGACCATGGCCAACGGAAAAGCTGAATTGACATCAAACGATCATATTCAGATAAATGGATCATCGTATGGAAAGGGGGACAGATATACGGCGGCTCCAAACGAGTAAGTTCCACCGGCAACATTGTTATATCGTAGACACGTTTAAGACGAGTTTGCCAAAACTTCTACGCTGCAATTAGTAGTCAAAGAGCACATTCATAAGGCGTGTAGATTTTGAGCAGCGAACCGAATAGACTTATAAAATGTTCAGTCATTATTCAAATGGTTCGTTGATTTATTTGAACAAGAATCGTCCTGTTGATAAATAAAGCGGGCCATGACGTCATCGCGCGTTAATAAATAACAAACGCATCGTGTGGGTAACGGACGAAAAGGAAAGTTGTTTTGAGACGCTACATTATCGGACAAACTTCGTAATGCGTATTTATAGGAGGGAAAAGTTTGCCAATGCTATTAACAACTTTGATACTGGATTCTATGAGGACGCCTGGAAACTCATTCCTGGAATTAATCTTCGTGCACTTGACAGTAAATTGGCTGCTATACACCTGGTGTCTGATGCCCGTTTCTGTCGGGTTTTATCCATTAATCTTGATTTTACCTACGGCACCAATGTTTACAATCTGGACTTATCACCTGACCCTGTAATTTCTCGACGTTTATTAATGGCCAATATCATCGTTAAATTCGTATCACCGCAAGTGCACGCCGTGAATAAGTATGTTTACAAACAAATCTCATTATTAATGCCCCAAGTCTTTGTTGCACGTTGGATCGATACGTGTCGGAACAATGCAAGTTAATGAGTCACGTTTGATATGAATACGCCGGAGATGTATTGTCTTAGATATATTTTTAGTATACATATATAATATGTATAAGTATTTATTAATCTTTTTAGTAGTTACGTCTTAAATATTATAGAAATCAAATTTTGCATTGGCATTGAATTAAAACTGTACCAAATATCTTTCATAAAGATATGGTAAGCTGTTGGTTGATACGTATTTGTAATGTTTATAATTTTAATAGGATTATAGTAAAGTTAAGCAACAGCATTTACATGTCCCACTGTTAGGCAAAGAGCTGTGATCCTCTACAGATGGTATTAGGTATAGTCCACAGGCGACCGCTCTGCGGATATCACATACCTTGGAAATATTTTTTGTCATTATTTCGAAAATATGCAGGTAAGGAAACTTACGATGTTTTGTCACCGGGATTTGAACTTCGAGTATATTGAATTAAAAGCGAGCGGATCTAAGATTAGAGCGAAATATTTTTTTGTACTAATATGTAAATAATTTTAGTGATCATTAAAAAAATAAAGTGAGGTTTAGCTTCAATTTTATAGAACACAGCAAAGGTGTTTACGGTTTTAACGGACACTCCGATGCAATCGGGTCGAGAGTCGAGTGATTTGCATATTCGGAATTTTCTATTTCGTTTCGAGCCGCTGACTCGTTATCTTCGCAATGTTTGACGTAACCGTTATCTAAAGGTAATGGAAACTTATCTACACGGCATTAGCATGTCTAAAAGGAGCGTGTTTGAACCCATTAACGATGTCTGCGCGCGATCCTCGTGCAATAGTCATGGTTTTCTTTTTAAAATAGATTTATTGGAGAGCGGAAACTACACTCTATCGCCTATGAGTAAAGTTTCTTTAAATGTATGACTGTGTCATAAAACCTTCGCGTCATTACACGAGCTTAGGTATAACATTACGTTGAAACTTTCGATTTTTTTTGTTAAGGTCGATTTCAAAATTACGATGTATGATAGACGTGAATTTATATTTATGTAGTATTTATTAACTTTGAAACTAAATAGGCGTATTTCAATGACAAACCGCACGGTATCTGTAACCAACCACTAAGTGCATTAGCATATCAATGATATTCAAGATCGTGCTGCATTCTGTGTTAAAGATTTCCTAGCCGTTCCCTTAATTCATTATTAATTGAGATATGTTTGATAGATTTTTTATAGCATTTAATTTGAAATTATATTTTCGATTTTTCGAATAGTTGCAAAATTCATCCGTTCTTCCCAGAAAATTCTAACCGCGTCTTATGTTTCGTTGAACTATCTTCCAGTGTTGATATCTTATCTCCTCTACTAACATTTAGACGTTTTTTTTAATTCAATTTCCGCACGAATCATCAATGTTCCTTTGCGAAGATTAATTGTAAATCTGAGGTGTTGGCAATCTTCACAACTATATTTGGCTTCACGTGGGTTTTGTCTGCTCTTCTTGTTTGACCACATCATTTATCTTCTAGATATAAATATTGCACTTGAAAAACAGTGATAATAATTAAATATCTCGCCTTTTTAAATATAAGCCTCCAATCTGCAATTAACATCGTCTCTGAGTACTCGTGTCTAGATCGTATGGGTAGTGTAGTCAACAAGCCGCCGCCTCACGGCTGGCGTTCCACAAGGCTCATGCTTCTCACCCTTACTCTTTACGCTCCACTTGAGCGACAAACCCAAAGACCTCCACGTCAATCGATATGCGAATATTTTAAAGACCTGACCAAACGGTTCTTCGATAGAGCCGAAAATCATTCCAACCCTCTGGTGGTAAGCGCAGCAAATTACCAACCCGACACAAACGCGAACGTCAACAAGCCGCGCCCGCGAAACGTCCTCATCGACCCGGTCGAGGAAGGGGACTTAGATACGTCGGACCCACCGTCGGGCGTCCCGCCGGATACCACTACACCCACAGCTAGTGTAACAACAAACTGAATAGTTCGCTCTCGCCTCCGAGCACGGCGAGACCAACACAACGCGTACACAAGGCACACCCGCGTTCGAGGGCGGTTCTCAACGCCCCCAGTCACCGATTAGCTAAAAACAGTCGACGGCCATCGGGGTTCCGGTCCGAACCACAAACTCGATGGCCCTTAGATGACATACCATAGTTAAACGCACGCATGAGCACATGCGCGGCCCTACCCACAGCGGAGGGCTCAAACCCGTGGGTTCTGGCTAGCCCACCGGTTCTACGTCAGATGAAGCTTTAATAGTCTCGGGACGGAAAGCAAAAACATCAGTTAATACAAGATACAAGGGTAGTGTAGTATGTTTAATATTGCTAAAATGATAGTTTAATGGATATTGTTTTTATCACGATTTATGCTACCTATACGATACAGCTATTTACCCTTCTGTATTTTATTGATTTTTTATACATATTTTAAAAATATTACCGAGAACTAATGCTACACCGTTTTTCTTTTTTATTTATATTTATTACTAGCTGCTACCCGCGACTACGTCTGCGTAGAATAGGCTGAAGGCATAACATTCAGACAGAAAGATATGCATATAAATTATATCATATGTCCTATTGTGATGTATAAGCTATATTATTGTAAAGTTTCATTAAAATCCATTCAGTAGTATTTGCGTGAATGAGTAACAAACATCCATACAATACAAACTTTCGCGTTTATAATATTAGTAAGGATTTTGAATAGGTAAAGTTTGTTTGTTGTACGAGATGAGTAAAAAAGGGGCATTAATTGCTATAATGTTTAAGAAGTGAATATTTTATATTTAAAATTTTAACAACATTTCATAATCATTTTAGTGACATAACATCGAAATTCAAAATCAATTGGCTGTGTGAACAGGTTTATGAAGAGAAGTTTGCATGCCACATGATTGAATTCAGAACTTGGCGCCTTTCAATTGCTTCGATATTTCCGGCAGCCGGATCTTACACTCTGGATGGTGTTCGAAGCAGAGCGTTTACTATTTAAGTAAAAGAACGTATTAAACGAAAGCCCCTACACCATTATTTGCGGGGTATACAAATTTTTGTCTAAAAGCACTACAAATTCGGCGTACACGTTTTAGAACTGAATAAGATCGATAAAAAGTGGATTGTTTTAACATTTTGCCTGCCCTGTTAAGATTTTTAAAAAAGGGTACCTATATCGTATTCGTTAGTATTGTTTCATATTAAAACAAAAAAAAAGTTGAGAGGTGTCAAGGGACACCCGGATGGAACGAAGTTCCTTTCGATTATTGTGTTTACAAAGTCCCGCGCATCTATGACGTGTATGAAAGAATAAAAAGACAGAGTACATTTATATATATTAGCTTACTATAGCAAAAAGTGTCGTTACAACTTTTCGTGAGAATTTTTTCCGTCTAGCCCCCTTTCACAACGCGCGATAAGGAACTTCGTTCCAAAAACAGTTTTCAGTGAAGGGTCACTCTATAGTTTTTTATTGTTTTAAAAAACATTGATGCCAATTTAATATTAGGGTTTCTAGGATTTGAGCGAATACTACACACAATAAATAAAATTATTTTACGTATTTAAATGTGTTAATTTGATTTATTATTGACGCGTTTTATCGTTAACACACAAATAATAGCAGAATTCTTGTTACTACAACAAATATACTTTGCCTATGTACATTTTATGTACATTTTTATACATAATTAAGAAACATTACGCTTTTCGGATTGCATAGGCAATAAAGTCATATAAGCATCTAAAGTTATCAAATACCAACGTTTCCTCCAGAGACCATCAGAGGTCTTTTAATGAATTTTGAAATTGCACACGGTCAAAATTCTAGTGAGAAACGTGACATAAATTGAATAAAAACATAGATCTGACGAAAGCGACCACGCGGCTTAAATATTGATAGTACAAGTTTCATAGACTTGACCTACAACAAAACATCTTGACCCGCTCTAGGAAGTCGACACGATCATATTATTTCCGCAGTTATGATTTATATTTTTATGTAGAAAATTTTCGGGTAACATTACGTAGTGAGATAAAATTATTTTCGCTTATAAAGCTTTTGGATTTTTAAACACGAAACTTACCATTTGAACTAGGCCTTAAAATGAAACTGTTATCATCAAAATCAATCGCCCACGCCCCTATCAATCAAACGTGTTCTTTGTTTCAGAATATTCGTGAACAGGTCACTGCACTTGGAAAATGTGAAGTTTTATGGGTTCGACATGGACTACACGTTGGCTGGTATGTTAATTTTAAAAGCATGCAATATAACTTACGGCATCGTCGTTGATAACTCAAACAGGTTATGATTTGGGTTCAATCGAGTGTTTCTTCTAACCATAGTTTGCATAACATCTTTCAATAATGATTGAATGGCGCCTGCTTGGTGCTTTAAGTATAGCTGATTAATTATTAGTTACTGTTTGTGATTATACTCCATAGTTCTATTTATCAATAGGCAATTCTCATAGAGCTTATTTATTTCAATGATGGCATCTACCTTAAGACATTTAGTCTTACATCCAGTCCATTACAATATTATTTTGTGAATCCATTTCAGTCATATATTGTGCGTATTATATTGTCGAGATTTTGAATCTCATTTTTTAAATTTATTTCCAGAATATAAATCGCCACAGTATGAAACATTAGGATTTAACTTAACCAAAGAGAGACTAGTGAAGAAAGGATATCCGCGAGAAATTTTAGAATTTGAATATGATCCCTCCTTTCCTGTAAGGTGAGTCTGTTAGTATTATATGCCACGTAACGCTCATACGGTTTCAATCAATGTAATATCAGTTTATGATTCTGAATGCTTATGACATCGGATTAGAGCCAATCGTACACATAAAATCTTGATCCATCGACACGCCAACGTCGTTGTAGCGTTTATTTTTAACAATATCGAATATTTTTCGTACCAGACCGCCCACAAATATTCCGAAGCGATATCTGTTGGCCGCGTGACGTCTAGTGGTGTAAAATGACGAATGTCAAACATTATACGAACGGCCCAATTTAAAGATTTTACGGGAAGAAAAATACTTCATAGATGTATTTACTTTTCTGGGTTCTAAATCCAGTGATGGCTGTGTGACGTGTTTTTACCAGGGAGTCATGCTTGTAATAACATAAAGATCAAAAAATGTTGAGATTGAATGAAATACAATTAAAATCTCTTTTTGGTGATTTAATAAATGAGGGCAAGGTATCGTGCTCTTATTTACACGATAAGTTTAATTAATATTTTCACGCAATACTCTACACACATTCTTAAGCCGGGTGTTTGCAATCTTATTAAAATAAGGAACCAAGAAAGAAGTTACCCAAGTTAATAAAAATGAAAAATAAAATTGAAAGTGTTTTAAGGAAATTGAATAGTAAAAATGTTGCGATTGAGGGAAGATTATGATGAGGAAGCGAGTGGGTATTGCGATTGATTATCTTTATATCATATATTATTGTATGTTAGACTGACATTTATATTGAGAGGGCTGGAATATTAATGTATTAAAGTAAGATCGGTACATGTTTTAAAGATCTTAATTTAAATAAAAAATCTAATTTCCATGAGAGATTTAACACTAGTACCCGGAGGACCGAGCTTTGCTCGGTTTGTTTTTTTTTTTTTTGTAAATTGTGTATTTTGGATATTACATTTAGATACAAATTACTGAGTAATGAAATATGCATAATATTTTTCGATGTTACCGACGTAATAATAAGAAAATATGATCTGATGTTTTTCACAAAAGAAAGAACTTTAAAAAAAAGGGAAAAAAATAACAAAATAATAAATCGACAAAAAATTAAAAATAAAGAAAGCAATGATCTGGAATCGAAAAAAAAGGTAAAAAAAATAAATGTGTAAATGATCGTGACGCGAACCACGGCCGTCTGTTTTGGGGCCGCCCGATTACCGACCTTTTCTCTTGCTATTATGACATTTTCTCTTGCGGCGAAATTTACCGTCATATTCGAATTATAATTTTCATTCCCTGAAAACAGGGATAAAAGGACATTTTCTAAAAATGAAACCTAGCTAGATCGATTTTTCGCCCCAGAATCTACGCACATGCTAAATTTCAAATCGCTGGAGCCGTTTCCGAGATTCCGATTATATATATATATACAAGAATTGCTCGTTTAAAGGATAAGATTTCAAATTTTATGAATCTAATATGTGGTTTAATCGAACTGCCTACGTTTCAGATATATTCATTTCATGACAATAAACCAAAGTTACGGTTGTCCTTTGGATATAAAGCCGTGTAAACAGAAATGCCGTTTAATTTGAGGTTTTGTTTAAACTTTGATTTTTTTCTTATGTATTCTATCCTTCAGCTACCCTTCCTTTGCATTGTGCAAGCCATATTTATCTTTGTTCTTTTTAATCTATATTTGGTTTTATTACTTAATACTAATCTGCTAACATTAATTCCAGAGGTCTATGGTTCGACACGTTATACGGAAACTTACTAAAAGTAGACGCATATGGTAACATTCTAGTTTGTGTGCATGGATTTGAATTCTTGAAACAGTAAGTGTATTAATTAACTTTTCTCTCTTTCTTCATAGAGGTATTTTGATTTTATAAACCATGTATTTTTCAGTTCTCAAGTGTACGAGTTGTATCCTAATAAGTTTTTAACACTGGACGAATCAAGGGTATACGTGTTGAACACACTTTTCAACTTGCCGGAGACTTATTTAATAGCATGCTTGATAGATTTCTTCACGAATTCACCACAGTACACAAGGCGAGTAAAAAAAATATTATTTATTTTGTATTTTCTATGGTAGGGGTTAAGTAAGTCCCAACCACCACTGCGACCTAGAATATCTATTGCAGTCTTCCGTTATAAAACATTGGCCCCTTACTGTTGGATAACATTATCCTGTGTTGTACATACATAAACTTCACATGGGCGAACATCCAGATCCGAAACAATTATTTGTGGGTCACACAAATAGTTGTCTCGTGTGGGATTCGAACCCACATCTTGATAACTGCGCCACGAAGTCATCTATTAATATCCACTTTACAAATAAACTTAGAGCGTGTTTTTTATGATTTACGTTTTTAAAAAAATGTTTCCTTTTTACTGGTTGATTATAATTGTTCCTTTTTTATGTAAGAAGGTGGCAAGTGAGCGGTTCACCTGATGTTAAGTGATAACCGCCGCCAATGGGCAGGGATGCGACTCTCGTAGGGTTGCAGATGCGTCTCCACCTTTTAATAATGTGGGCTCAGGTTACCTCACTCAGCAGGCGATACGCAAAATTACAACACGTCCACTTCACGCCGGTCGTGTGTGAGGTCGTAGTACTTACCAGGACGGACCTCCCCATTCGTGTTAGAGCAAAGACATATGGTAGGTCCACATAACAGTCTTCGTTCACATATGTTACGCAGATTATGGGCTTTTGAATTCTTCTCTTAAACATATCTGTTTTTGTGATTTTCGATACTAATGATTTCTGTCGCTATCGCAGAGAGAGGACCGGAGTGAGATGCGGCGACCTGGCGATGTCCTTCAAGTCGATATTCCAGGACGTGCGCAGCGCGGTCGACTTCGTCCACATCCACGGCGACCTCAAGTCCAAGACCATCGAGAACCTGGAGCTGTACCTGAAGAAGGACGAGCGGCTGCCGATGTTCCTCTCCAGGATAAGGGAGAGCGGCGCGAAGCTGTTCCTTCTCACCAACAGCGACTATAACTTCACCGACAAGATCATGAACTATCTGTTTGATTTCCCGCACGGCGCTCAGGTAAGTCCACTTTATTAAGAGGTGACAACGCAAATGCAACCCTACGGGTGTTGCAAATGTCCGTGGGTAGACGGTTATCGCTTAACATCAGGTGAGCCGCCAGCTCGTTTGCCACTTTCTCACATGAAAAAGGGTCCCAACCGTGTGCGCCTTTGCTGTTGAAATGACTTGGGAGATGCGGTTTCGAATCCTGCCGGTGCCGATCGATTACTAGCGACCCGCCCCGGCTTCGCACGGGTACAATGTATTATATACATTATGTTATAAACCTTCCTCTTGAATCACTCTATTTAGTAAACAAAACCGCATCAATATCCGTTGCGTAGTTTTAAAGATCTAAGCAATATATAGGGACAGACAGCGGGACGACTTTGTTTTATACTATGTAGTGAAATTCTCATTTATGTACGCGTTTACGTCGCTCCCATTTTGTGGAATTGCGATGTGTACGCTGGAATCACATTATTCACTTCCTGCCTTCCGTCCGTCACCGTTCTTTTCGACTTTCCACGTATTCTAATGAAGAGGTTTACCTCGTCGTGATACGTACAGTAAAGTAATGGAATAGTTTTCCGGTGTCATGTTTTACACAATACGAGTGTATTCAAGGCAAGAGCGAATCGGCATTTACTGATCTAGTAGTGCGTTTGCCATCTAAGCCCACACCTTCGCTTAACAGGGAAGAGAACGTTTGAATAAAAAAAATAGTTTTACGACTACGCTTTTGATCTATGGTGAATTATGTCTATTGAATGAATTTATGAAGTCTGTAGTCAAAATACATACAATAGCATAGATATACAATAAGGACTGTGAGAACAACTTTTGCTGTTGCACGAATGGGCAGGGTCAATGGTAACAGTACGACACCACAGAAGACCAGCGTTAAGTGGAATTATTATACTTTCGCGTTTCGTCTGGTGAATGAGATAACCGGGGCCCAATTATTTAAATATTAGAAATGCATATATCATCCAAGAGAGCCGTGATAGCTCTGTTTACGGGCGCTCGCCTTTAATTCAATATACTCGAGCAACCTGAGTTCGATCCCCGGTGCGGGCACCAATGAAGTTTTTAACTTTAAGTGCTGACTTATCACGTGCTCCGCGGTGAAGGAAAACATTGTGAGGAAATCTGCATATTTTCGAAAAATTAACAAAAAAAATATATTTCGAAGATATGTGAAGTCCCCCAATCCGCAGTGGGGCCGCGTGGTGGACTATGCCTTGATACCCTCTGTATAGAGGAGGCCTTTGCCCAGCAATGGGACATGTATAGGCTGTTACTTTTTACTTTACTATATATCATCATAGAGATTTTTGACGATGTGCCGTTTTTACTCCAGTCATAAAATCCACACGGTCGTCGGGTTAGTTAGTTTATATTACACTATACTGCCTAACTGATCATTTCATTGAGATGATGTAAAGTATAGTTTTATCACCAGTTTAATGTAATTGAACTTTACGACTTTTCTGTGCGTCATACGAATAAAACATCGGTTTTGTGACAAGACGACGATTTATGATTCTAGGATGTACTAGCAATAAAAGTACACTGTCAATATCCTGTCTGAATTATATTTATACTATAATTATGACTCTGAATTATATTTATACTCTTGTAGCATTTTAGTGAGTTTATTCTGATTTGTAGACACCGTTATCAAAATATAATACGTCTCAATATTGCAGACTTCACAACTTGTTTATCGTTCAGATCCCGAATAAACAAGTGAATGATGGGTACAATTATTTATTACAATTAATAATCAACATGTAGAGTAAATAACCGACAATTTACATCAGAAATGTTTATTCTTTACTAACAGATAATGTAGAACACATCTTCGATACATAATTATATATAAAATTCTCGTATCACATTGTTAGTTGCCATACTCCTCCGAAACGTCTTGATCGACTTTTAGTAAATTTTATTTGTATATTTGTTAGGTCTGAGAATCGGTCGTAATCTATTTTTCATACCCCAAGTGATGATAAGGGTGGTCAGCCCCAAACATTTTTATGGCTAAACAGCGTTTGCCGAGTCAGCTAGCGATCATATGAAATATTAATGTTTCGTTTAACTACACATTTTCCATAGTCTGCTACTTTATATTTTTTTTTATATAAAAACGTTTTGAGTAAGACCTCAGAATGAACAGTTTACATGAACAGTTTACATGAACAGTTTACAGTAATAACTCCCGGTGCATGAGTAGAAATGTTTATAATGGCGAAGTCTCATCTCCTCACCGAAGTCGAACTAGGCTGAGGGACAGACTTTTGAGTTGTTGGTCTTCTCTCTGCAACATCTCTGATGCAGAATCAGGTGTTCATGGACGGCGATCTCTGTGCTAGTCAGCATTTTGAAATAAAATGATTTTTCATTGCAAGAGGCGCGTGCTCCTTAACCTGCTTAATCTACAATGTTTGACAGAGTTTCAGAAAACCGGACGTTAATATATCTTATGACTTAATTATGACTTATTTATAATATGACTTAATGCAGCAAGCAACTGAAGAAATTACGTATTGAATTGAATGTGGGCGTTGAATAAGACAGTGGCCTGGGTATGTGTGTTGTTTTGACAGGCGTCATTGCTTAATTGCGTTACCGCTGCTGGTTATTCGTGAATTATTTTACGAAACGTGTTGGCGTTATGCTAATATGCTATCTATGGACGACAGTTGCTTATTTACTAGCAATCAAATATATACTAAAGCAGTCGATCGGGACCCTTTTTTTTTGTTATGTTTATATTTTAAACGTTTAGAATACTGGAATACTAAACTGGAAATCTTGTGTGATATTGAGTATCAAAACAGTATATTGTGCCGAACTAAGTTGTCATTACTGTAGTTTAGTTAATTAAAATATGTTTATATTTATCGTCAAAAGCGTAATATATATTATAAAGGGAAAACAATGAATTTTGAAAATGTATTTGTGATACCTTCAATTTCGCTCTTTAACTAAACGAAAATATTTTCATAAATTGTTTATGAGGCGCGGTTGTAATCTTGAGGTTTTTGGTTTGATCGTGTGGTTAATCTGTAATTAATTAAAAAATTATTTAATATGAGAACACTTTAAATTTTGGTAGGATAAGCATAGTACGAAAGATTATTAAATTTTCTGTCCAAAAATTTTACGGTACAACCGCCGAATTCCTTGTCGACCATCGAACGAAAGGTTATGGACAAAAATAAAAACGATCGCTTTAAAAAAAAGAGGACACTAGATATAGACTATCATTATTTATTCACCATCAATTGTTTTTCATCAGATATTTGACATTTTGCCGCTTCCACTACTTAGGCGAGGAATTCCGCGTAGGTACATAAAATAGATCCGGTTGGTTCTACGGAGTGTGTTAGGTCGACCTTCAAATTTTTTACAAGGGACCGCATCGTTTAATGTACTCTCGTTCCCCGTCGTCCAGCCGAGCGACCCGCACAGGAACTGGAGGACGTACTTCGACTGGATAGTGGTCGACGCTAAGAAGCCGCTGTTCTTCGGTGAGGGCACAACCCTACGGCAGGTGGACACGCTGACCGGCGCCCTGAAAATGGGCCATCACGTCGGACCGCTGCACGAGGGGCTGGTCTATTCGGGCGGTAAGACCTTAGAGTTAGTGTTTGGTTCTGTTCGCCTTTTATTTGATCATTGTTAGCGCTGTTTTCGGTACACACATATCTGGTACGAAGCTGGTGTTAGATCGGGGCGAGTTTCCTTTCTTTCGATTTTTATTTTATTTTATTACTCCTTGTTTATTACAGTTAAATACACGTAATAAAATGTACATCTAGGATTATTATTTTGACCTTCGATATGTAAAATGGCTCTGCAAGCTTTGAGGGAATCCGTATTATGTGAATTAATGGAGTTTACGACTCAATTACTAAATTTTTTCATAGCCACTATCAGAGTGTGATTTGTAACAATGATCGTTTGTGTTATGGGATATATGGTATACGCATGGTTTTTGACCCTTGTTGAAAGTACCCTCATCCAAAAGCTAATTTTCCAAAAGCGAAAGACGTATTTTGAGCGTCGGCAGTGGTCTTACTGCAGTTTCCTTCCTATCGGTTTTAATAATTTTCCGCCGTTGTTTCAAAACTGACATCATTTACTTTCGCTTTCTCATATAATATATCTCTTTTTGTCTAACTAAAATGTCGAATGCCTACTCCAGTCGTGATGATAGTCCTGTTTAAATACAAATAAATATGGCGCTTTTACGCCATCGACCATTCCGTAGAACCGATTGGAGAGTAGAGTGGATTGTTTTCATTCATCTCCAGGCTCGTGCGACGTCTTCACGGAGCTGATCAGCGCGAAGGGAAAGGACGTGCTCTACATAGGCGACCACATATTCGGCGACATACTCAAGTCGAAGAAGATCGGGGGCTGGCGCACCTTCCTTATAGTGCCGGAGCTGGTGCAAGAGCTGCACGTGTGGACCGACAAATGCCAGCTGTTCGCCCAGCTGCAGAATCTCGACGTGCAACTGGGCGATATGTACAAGTGAGTGTTGTTCGACTTGACTACCATTCTTCCTTATTTACTTACATTCCGCTATTGGGTGGTAGACAGGAAACTGGTATACTGTTCCTGTTAACGAAACCATTCGCCGACAATGATTCAAAATTTATTTCCTTTTATGTTAATAGGTTTGCATCCCTTGCTGCACCTACCATAAACTTTCACCACATCCTGGGTTGACTGGTAGAGAATGCCTTTGGGCATTCGTTACCGTCCGCAATTTGTTACCTTTTTTTCATAAGGTTAGCTAAAGCATAAAAAAAATAAATGAGGTTATGACTTTAAGAATTGCATATTATACGTGTTATAAGTTTCTGTATACATCTCTATTGTAATACCTATTTATTAGATGGCAAATAATTAAATAACTTTTAACAGTGGGTAGTTGTAGTAGAAATATTTTTAATAATGTATATATCCAGCAAGAGCATTTCCCTTTGAATTATTCCCGCTTAAGCAAAACATCCTTGTCAGTAATTGATTCATTGTTCAATTTAGTCTCGGCTTTAACAATACATATAACGTTAATTCCTTTAACACAATAAAATAAAACACTTTGCGGTTGTAATTTTTCATAATTATCTCGACCTCCGGCATTGTTAGCGATTTCCATAACTTCTTAACAAACAAAATGAGGCGGCGGTTTTTGCAAGTGTCAATGGAAACCGGTTAAATCAAACTATTCTTATATGGGTTTCAAACAAGGTCATGTATGTTTTATGGCCGGATTCTATATTGTATCTATAGATAGATTTGGTTACTGTAGATAGAATTTTGACATAAGTTTTATGGAGCAAATGTAAAAACCTATCGCTGGTTTCCAAATCTACGTGTAGATAGAATATTGGAACCGGACTTTAATAAATAAATTCGAAATAAAGTTACTAGTTTTTGCGCGCATCTTTGTTCGAGTCGTTTTTTTCCTTGTAAACCAGTAACACGAAATGTGTTATATTTATATTAAACCTATCTCCATTGCAACTTATTCAAATCCGTTGGAATGAGAACAAGAAATCAACGTCCAGAGTAAGTGTCAATATTAAAGCGGTAATGCATGTGGGACACGAAAAACTTTAACAAAGCTCATACAAAACTTGCGCAGTATTTTAGCGCACAGTTTGCAAGTATCGTAGGGATTTCCGGCTGTGGGTGAGGGTTTTTCCTTCTCCCTCGCGTCTCAGCACAAATCGCTTTCTTTCTCCCTCTACACATCGATGTACTGTTGCGACCAGCGTTGTTATACTGTTTTGTGGGCATAATTTTTTAGACGTTTATCATTTCAATTAAGTTATAACTCAATTTTGTACTCGACGAAACATTCGCTGATTGTGTTATGTATGCGCGTGACCTTACATTGTGCACATTTGATTTAACATCACCCGCATACCGCGACCCGCTCCAATCGCTCTTATATTCAAACAAGACGCGTTGTTACGTCACTCTGTTTGTGAAGAACACACGATCTTATGCGTGCTTCTTTTACTGCAAACACGTTAATGGCTGAGTTTACCCAGATTGATGGAAAAAATCTTTAAAAAAGTCTTTATATATGATTCAATACAACTTTATTATTGGCATTCTTATTTAAATCTGATAAAGTAATATTTGTGAGTTTGTGCGTGTTTATTTATTTGGGTAGGCCAATTAATTTAATTACCAGACCAAAGGCCAGCTTGCAATATAATACAATATCACCCTATTGGCATCCACTGCTGAACGTAAGCCAGAGTGCGCCAACATTCCCGGTCCTGGGCAGCCCGCATCCCGCCATCTTTCTTAAGACCAGCGTAAACAAATAATATTCTAATCTAACAAATATATAGAAAACTTTGAACGAAAGTTCTTTGTAGATATATGTACAGCTTACTTTTGTTTGAAATCTTAATGCCTTTATGAAAATATAGGTTTGAGGCAACTTTAAATGCTGACTTATCACGTTAGGGATGAAGGGTAACATCGTAAGGAAATGTGCTGTTTTCTCAGTAATGATACAAAGATTTCGAAGATATATGAAGTCCGCCAATCCGTGGTGGGTTCGCGTGTTTGACTATGCACTAATGTACTAACCTTTTGTATTTGCATTTTTTTATTTTTTTTACGTGAAAAGTTGCCAAACGAACAGATGGTTCACCTGATGTTAAATGAATACCGCCGCCCATGGTCATCTGCTACACCCGAGTTTTACAGATTTGACAACCTTTTGAAAATTGTGCTCCGGCCACCTCACTCACCAGACGAAACGCGAAAGTATTACATTAAAGTCATACTTCCACTTTACGCTGGTCTTCTGTGAGCTCGTGGTACTTACCCGGACGGGCTTACCCATTCGTACAACATCCGAGGCTGCTGCGTTGCCCTACCACCGTAAAGCATTATTTTATTATTAGTACTATTATTGTAGAAGAGGCCTTTTTCCCAGCAGTGGGACTTATAAGCTCTCTTTCTTCAATTTACATATCCTGATATGGTGATATTCTGGGAAATGCTATTGGCTGTTGGTTTTTATAATGTATTTCGAACCATAATTGCAACCTCGGAATACTAACAGTGTGTCTTGTCTCAGTAATGCTGCCGTTCAACTGTTACTGCCATACACATACCGCATCGGGGTTGAAGACTCACACCTACTACGCCAATCGGTTCTTTTGTTCCAACGTTAAATGACAATGACAGATTTTTCCATTGACCCATGTACTATGTGAAAAAAAAACATTAGACGAATTGCATAATACGATAAACAACTCTCGCCGCGTCGCCTACGCGTATCCTTTGTGACGTAACACACGGATCTGAAAGCAAGCATAACTGAGGGCTTTGGTTATCATTTCTGATTGCTTGGCGTTCCAGCGCTCTTTTATGCTGTAGTCGAAACACAGGCTCAATTTCCAATGCCCATACCATTCGAAGACACTTTGTAAGCTTCGACGTATATCACTCGCAAAGTAAATATAAAGATGTATTCTTTATTTGGAACCAAACTCCGTCTACTCGACTATCCATACTTCCATACTAATATTATAAATGCGAAAGTAACTCGGTCTGTCTGTCTCGCTTTCTCTCCAAAACTATTGAACCGATTTAAATTAAATTCGGTACACAGATCGTCTAGAGCCTGAGAAAGGACATACGCTATTTTTTAATTGGAAAAAAGTTGTAGTGTAAAGCGTTGGAAGATATTTATTTAAGGGCTTCAACGTGAGTGAAGCCGCGGGCGAAAAGCTAGTATAATATAATTACTATTATTATTTTACGGTCCGTTACGATTCTGATGCTATTTCCATGCTATGATGGTCTTGCGATTGAGACTTTGGTCAAAGGTCGGGTGTATTGTAGTATGGAGTTTTACATTACGCTATATGTGATGGTGGTTGCCATTTTAATAAAACTTATTGCAGTTTATTTTTGACGGCTGAATCGCCATGGTAACTGCATTTGCACGCAGTGTCGACGGTTCTGTCCCCACGTTCGACAACGATTTGTATATAAATAGTTGTTACGAATCTGTGACCACTTTATTTCCTCGGTGTTTAGTTTGTATTTCGTAAAACCTCTCGATGTACAAGAATTAATTTCTAGTGCGTGGAGTCGCTTTTTGATAAAAGAAAGTGAGCAGTGCGTATCAAGAGTTTTTCAGTTATTTCGTATTGAACTTAAAGTAGGAAATCGAGTGTGTTGACCATCAAAGAAACTCATCGTTGGTTGGGGACATGCCTTAACTGCGTCGTGTGTCTTTAAGGACAATTGCATAAAGACATCATCCTTTAAATTACCGGCAAACGCCCGAAGATTTCAAGTCAATGTATTGTACTGTGACATGACTCAGTATGGGCCACGGTCTTACATAAATGTCTTGTAACACGCAGAGTTCCAATAGCGGTGAGTGACTCCACAGATGAGGGCAAATGTAGATGGCGCTTTTTTAAGGTGATATTTTTTAAAGTTAAAATCCTGGCAGTCGCATAAAAATAAATTCAACAATATAAATATTATACAAAATGTATTATATTGACAGTGAAACTCTCCTAATGGTTAGCTATCATTGTCTAACCTATACAGTTCAAAAGCTTGAGATCTTACGTGTGTTTGTTTTTCTACGTAAATTATATTTAGTATCGCGCGCCTTTATTTTTCCAAATTTCCGAAATAGGGAACGTGCTCCAATGACGTTTCTGGTTACATGTATAATTAACCGACTTCAAAAGGAGGAGGTTCTCAATTCGACTGTATTTTTTTTATGTTTGTTACCTCATAACATTTGACCGAGTGGACCGATTTTGATGATTCTTTTTTTATTCGAAATTTGGTACTTCCCATGTGGTCCAACATTAATTTAATTGGCATTGGATCTTGGGCTCTGGAGACACTTAGGGATCTCCTGAAAATCGATTATAAAATGAACACATAGCGAGATATTTGAAGTCTTTTTTTTTCGTTAGTAAAAAATAGTTATTTTATATGCTCTATCTGTTTGTGACATACCACTCCATCAGTCTTAAAGGTGTTGCGACATACTTAGGCCCGAAACGTTTGCCTTAATTGCGCCCGACTCATCCTCAATGCGTTTAACAGGGACCTGGACTCAAGCACCAAAGAGAAGCCTGACATATCGAAGTTGCGTATGTCGATACGGGACGTCACCCACAAGATGGACCTCGCCTACGGCATGTTGGGCTCGTTGTTCCGTTCGGGCTCGAGGCAGACTTTCTTCTCTTCTCAGGTACGTTGTTCAGATTAAATAATTAATTATCAATTTGTACGGTGTAAAGTTTCTTAGTAGCCTGAGACTGAGCTAGCGAGCATGTAACATCCATCACAACTTGAGTTATTATTATAACATGTCTTAATTGCGCGAATATTATTCATTTTAATAACAGCAATTTACCGATTTAATCGCGGTTCATTTCTTGTTTAAACACTTGGCGTTTCGAATACTTTACCCCATTCATTCATTATCGTCCTCCTGCCTTGTAACATGTGAATGACGTTGTTTGCGGTTTTGGCTAGATTTTCTACGATCGGCCGGTCTGCCTTACGTCAACCTTCCTTGGGATACAAACACCCAACCCGGAACAGTTATCTGTGGGTCACACAAACACTTGTCCCGTGGGGGGATCGAATCCACGACTCACGGCGCTGAAGCTAATAGCTTGGCAACGACGCCACCGAGTTAGTTAAGAGTCAAGCTATTTTAGCTTTTATTAAGCTTAATTTATTAACATGTATAATATACGGATTTCTTCACGACCACGACAAAATCCGTAGTTTTTTTTTTTTTGGTTGTGGTATATTGGTGTAACCAAAAGCGTGTCCAACAGGTGGTGAGGTACGCGGACCTGTACGCGGCGTCCTTCCTCAACCTGATGTACTACCCGTTCTGCTACATGTTCCGCGCCCCGGCGATGCTCATGCCACACGAGTCGACCGTCGCTCACGAGCAGCGATTCACCGTCGACACGCCCACCATCGACCGGTCGGTGTTGTTTCACGTTAAAATTTGACAAACCAAGCGGTTCACCCGCTGTTAGGCGATTGCCGCCGCCTGTGGATGTCTACGACAGCTGACGGTTTGCAGATGTGTTGCCAACATTATACCAGGGGACCTCATCCAGGTGAAACGTTAAAGAGCCTTACTTCCCCTTCACCCCGATCTTTTATGGAGCCTGCCCATTTGTGCAACACTCAAAGCTCATGCGTGCTCCCACCCCAGAATGACACAGTGTTCCAACCCCCAACCAACTCTCCCCATGCTTCCCTATTATTCCTACGCAGTTCGCTCCTCTGTAGTACTCCATCACTCTATCCACTGCATTTCCCTATCTCCTCCCCTGTAATTTCCACCTCTGTTGTATTCCACTACCCAATCAACTGTTTTCTACTACCTCCTCTTATGCTGTAAAAGGCTATCCACTGATTTCTTCTACATTCACCTCTGAATTCCCAAACCTCTTTTCCTGTGTACCCCACCCACTGGCTTTTCCTATATACTCCTCCACATCATTCTAGAACTTAACATCTGATAACCCAAACCCATATCAACTTTTTTCTACTCCTCTCCTGCATTCCACATTCCTCCTCATTAATTTCATTGCTCTCCTCTACTTTATATTCCCTTACTCTTATCTCTCCTTTCGCCTATCTTCTTCCGTGCATTTCCCAGACATGTAAAATCATCAGTCAGGATGTAAATTAATTGCCAAGGTATGAACCTTTGAAGTTGAGTTCGGGTTGTGTGGAAGGGGTTGGTTAGTAAGTCCCAACGACAACTGCGACCTAGAAGATATATTTTTTTTATGTGAAAAGTTGCCAAACGAGCAGACGGTTCACCTGATGTTAAGTGAATACCGCCGCCTATATACCTCTGCTACACCCGAGGGTTTGCAGTTGCGTTGACAACCTTTTTGGAAATTGGGCTCCGGCTACCACACTCACCAGACGAAACGTGAAAGTATTTGTCATACTTCTACTTTACGCCGATCTTCTGTGAGGTCGTACTTACCCGGACGAGGCTGCCCATTCGTGCAACAGCCGAGGCTGCTGCGTGGCTCTACCACGCATATATCTACTGTATTATATGTGCTCAAATTACCTCACTCCGTAGACGAAACATAAAAGTATTTAAATTTCACTTGACTCCGATCTTCTATGAGGCCCTGCTAATTCTCCGTGATTGTCTGCGCATCCGTCAGCAAACAGCAGAAGCTGCTTGCGTGACCGCATCGCAAAAGTATAAAGTCCTAATCCATATTACGAAAAAAATATATATAATTTCATTTGGAACCGCCAAGCAAAAATAAAGGCGGTTACATATTATTGCGTTTTATTATAAAATCAAATTGTTGAAATAACGACACTCACAATAGTTCCCCAATGTTTTACCCATGAATTACAATAAAAGATGTGATAGTTATATGCCTATTTTGAACATGCAAATGGAAACTTACCATCTTTCTTTTTACAGTTCTAGACATCCGAGCGCTCAGCGACCTTATTCCGTACCCGAGGAAACGTCTCAAGAAGACTTCACAGTGACTGTCGTTCCAGACATCAAGGTAATGTGAAGAACAGAAAATTGAGAAAGTCATAATCATAATTTTTTTAAGACAACGTGTCGGAAGATTAAAACTTTGCATAGATGCAAAGTTTTGGATGGGCTCGTAGAGTATCATTAAAAAAATGAAATTCTTTCACATATACTCGACTGTATATTAATCTGACGTACTCAAATATTTACAATCTCACGATTTTTTCTGCATTTTCAAAAATCGGCCATGACTTTTAGTCTCAGCAAAATCAAAAATAGTGTTTTGAATAGCTCCTTAAGGGTTTACTTAACGTCCCCTCTCAATATCCGATGGGCTCGAGTTAATATTTAATTTTCCCCGGTCTTGGGAAGCTTGGATTGGGTAATACTAATGTGATGCGCTTAATAAATAGTGGGTTTCGAATCCGCAGGCGCAGGGTTCAGTGCCCCACGTGAGGCCGGAGACTCCGAGGCAGCTCACCCACACCCACGACGAGGACTGCTCCGACGACGAAGATGTCTCCAAGTCGGGCCACAGCAAATAAACCACTCAGCACTTCTGCAACAGCCAACGAGCACAATCTGCTCGCCGTATGGTCGGGAATGTTTTACTTCTACAGGGCACTTCAGACTGTGTAGTTTAGCCATTGTCGTCGGCCGGCGTGCTATGCCCTAACGTCTAGAAAGTTCTATGTAACGTGTTAAGGCCTAGTTGTTACTTTAACGTTTCTAAAACGAGTTGTAAACGATTAGTTTACGAATATGTTATTTGTTATATAAACGCTCGACTGGTAGTATTGTATTGATTGTCGATTAAGAAGATCTGGAAAATAATTCAGTTTGTAATCATCATTGATTGACAGTTCTCGAGCTATTACGAAAACAATTTTAGGGGCAATATACTAAAACTTTTTCTTTGCAATTTATCCATAAATTAAAACTATTCGTGTTCTCTCGGAATGCATTGTAAGCTTACATTATGAATGTACGATTTATTAAGGTTGTTTTTTTTTATCATTTTACGTTTATACCAAAAATTTATTTATGTTGTAAATCCAAATGTTTATGATGTTAAAAATAAAGAATTTGCAATCAAAACGTATTGGCATTTAAAATTTCTCAACTATATCAGATTTATTTGTATTTTGATTTCATTTCAGTTGCAATTCTTATATATTCAATACATAGTAGATTTGTAGGTGCAAAGTATTGTTAATACCAATTCTTTAGTGTTTATGAGAACGATGTGATTATAGCAGGAGCGGTTTTTTATATAATTTTTAACGTGTCACCCAAATTGTTATGGATTGTGAAATAAAATGCAATGAGCAATGTAGATATTTTGTATTTATTTTTCGTTTTTCATAATAATAAATCTTGTAGATATTCTTCGAATTCATCCTCACGCGACTTCTCTTCTACTTCTTGGACAGCTGAAAAAAAAGGGAAAGTAAAGAAATTTGTAGCTAAATCACAATGTGTTTGAAATTAGATAATTATGTTTCACCGAATATGCGGTACACTGTATAAATTGTTTTAGAAAATTTTTCAGTATCGTTTTATAATTAACGAGCCGAGATTAGAACCCGCGACTTCATCTACGTTGCTTTTTTATATTAACAATTTATTTTGTGCAGAGGAAAACATATTTAAGACATTATGAATAGAGTTGAGATGCAGGTTCTACCTGGGCACGGCAAAAAAACACACATCACAGAAAGAGTAAAGATATCAAAAGTAAGTCCAAGAAATAATCCATAGAAGAATTCGTTGAAATCCATCCAGTAGATTTTCTGTGATGCGCACACAACGAGAGACCTCTATCATTTTATTTCTATAGCTTTTATTTTCTCACGATATTCTCCGCACTCAAGGAAATTTTAATTGTAATAATGCTTTTTCAGAAGTGCCTGCATGCTGTGAAATGGAAAGAAAGAAAAGACAGATGTCTATGGATTTTCGTCCGTGAGGTCATCGGCCGCTTAGCTTAGTTTATAAAGCGTAAGGGCGCGTTACCTGTGAGACGCAGGTTCGATTCCCGTGGCCCCTACAAATTTTTCGACAATTTTTCTGCATAAAATTCACATTTTAGGTATCATTTATAAAAATGTGTGTTATGCAGAACTAATATTGCATGCAATCGCAATATTGAATGTATCTGCGTACTGCATGCGTAAAATTTAATTATATTGTCATACCTTTCTTCCACAATGACTCATCTTTATTCCATTCGGAGTCTGCAGTCTCCCTAGAAGTGCTGGGTTCTGGCTGAATTTCTTCAACAGGTGGGCATTCATCACCGCTATTCACATCGTCTCCCCTACTACTTTCTATCCTCTTTTTCTTTTTCAGATTCTTCTTAAGTCTCTTTACTTCGCGTTTCTTCGACTTATAATTTAATTTTTCGGAGCATTCGAGGCACAAACCTAAAATTTTACATTTTTAAAATATCATTGTCTTAAGCACTGCGCGGTTAACGCAATATCGAGAATATAATTCCTTAGTAAATTAGACAAAGAATGTAATAATTGTTGTAGAGAAATTAAAAATTTCGAATCTCTTGTTTCTAATAAACTTTTTTGCAACACTTGCCGCTTACGATTGATGGCTAATTTAATGAACTGCGCATAGAAACCCCTAAAGTGCAAAGTTTCCAGTTATCACCTCTTAGCATTTTGTGATTTTATAGGTACTAAGTAAGTGATTAGGATCACATTCACATTAAATAAAACTACAATTATATCAGTACCTTATTGCGAAGTTGACAAAAAAAATTATTTTATTGGCCTAATAGTATTATAGCCGACTATTGCTGTCAATTCGTGGCGGCGTTTAGGTATATGAAGTTATGAACTATATGTCTATATGGATGTTTAGTGGTACTCGTTAAACTACTATTAAATTATTGACCTAATTATGCTTTTTGATTAATTCGATAACTGTTCCACGTCAAAACTCACGAAGTTTCACGAGAGCATTTTTCTTTTCTTTATCTTCAATGTAGGCAAAATTGACTTCCCACGACTTGAGACCCTGGTCGCTATTGCACTGCTTCGCGCCACACTGGAACTGGCCCTTGCCCAAGACAACTTCCTTTTCTACACGCCAACGAAGTGCGACCTTCGATAAAATATTCCTTATTTAAATTTCCTTTCTTTTTTTTTTCATTTTAATGACCTTTTTATGCTAAACATGTGCGGCTATGTCATCCAACTCCTTGCGTTACTGGAAGATTTACATAATTATGCGCGGACTGGGTGAGAGAGAGTATCATTGCCGTCTGTATTTTTGTATTGTCGGTTACTATGAGACAATTATTATACGGCGTGTCTTTACCATCGCGACAATAAATGAACACACACATAGAGGATAACTTTTTAAAATTGTATTAAAGATTTACATTCTTTAAACATCAATATTTACCGAGTTATCAAATTTTGCAAAACAAAGAATTTTAGAACACCCTTACGTATAAAACTTTAATGTAAAGTTCATTTGTAAAGGTCACAAAGCAATGGGTTGAATGAATTTAAAAGAGACAAAAAATACTTTTAGAAGGAGAGGCTTGTAATGCGGCGCTGTGGCAACAAATGAAAAAGTCTTTGAATGTATGAATCAGTCAGTTGTAGTTGTATAGGATGTTACAAATTTTGTTTCTTTTTACTTAATTAGTTTGTTTGAAAAATATTTTTTTTTTAATTATGGATTTCTTTTAACGTTAATATTTTTTATGTTTTTGGGCAATTAGCGTTAGACGTGTGTTCATTTATTGTCGCGGTGGTAAAGACACGCGTAATAAACAAAAAATTGACTTTTAAATAGTAAACATATAGTTTACCTACATATTGATCACTAACTTACCTACATATTGAAGAGTAGAAAAAGTAAGTTGATTATAAAGTTTTAGAAGAAAACTCAATTATTTTTTTTAAGGTTTAATTTGTTAAATTTTTTGTTTATTTTATGATTTTTAGTGAATCTGAAGTACACTAACTAATTTGGCTGAATATGGGTATGAAATGCAGCAGCGAAAGTAGTGCATTGCAATTTTATAACAGACGGAAATTTTTCCACAGATCGCACCCTTACTGTAAGCCGTTATAGAGTTCCATTGACCATAATATTCGACTACGACGATTACTTGACCATAACGACGTTACAGTAGGTGACCTAAATATCCGGGAAAGCTTTAAGAGATTCGGCCGAGTATCGTTACTTTTCTCCTAAGAATTGCAGAGTTCCGTTACTTTGTCATGGACACCATAATCAAAACCTAACCAAACTTTTACCAAACTACACTTTAAGTACATCATTTTCAAACATACAAAATCTCAGGTATTCCGCTTCGTGCTCTCGTACGGAACGGACGTCTCTCTAAGACGGAGGGCACATGCCACCCGAATTAGACGCTACTCGCAACTTTGGTTGCAATTTAAATATTTGTGCAAGTAGTACAATAGTTTAGTGTTAGTGTAGTGTAGTGCTCGTAGGCAGGTTCCTGTCCGTAAGTAGAATTCTACACACATTTCTCGCCTCAGAGGCGGCATTGCCTAATTTTTAACTGTGTGCTTGTTGCATTGGGCGCCAGCTAGGTACTCACCCTAGCGCACCTAAAGCGCAGGCGAATTAAGTGTTATTTTTAGGCACACTCCTCCCTGCCGCAAGGTGGGGAGGCTTATTAAGCTTACACACGCCGGCGGGGCCTAAGCCCCAAAGGCACATACGTTACGATGGGCTCCCTTTTCGAGGAGTTCGTCCGACAACGCTGTCCCGACATTTGGGAAAGCTACCTAGCGTTCGAATCCGAACAACGATTAGTCGTTGAATACGCCAACGACAGCCCGCCTTCACCGGCAATCGCATCGCCGCCATCTCCGGCGCCCTCTGCGCCCGTAACCCCGTTGCCTTCCGCGACGCAAGAAGCGCCCGTCGCGTCGACATCCTCCGCTGCGAACACGCCCGTCGCGCATTCCTCGCAAGCTACCCCGGCCTCCTTGTGCACCGTCGTACTCGACTCATACTCGGACGGCGGATCGGATATGGAGGTAGATTTAACTCCCGCCGGTAAACCCAATGACGACGGCTTCACCGTCGTCACTGGACGAAAAAAGAAGGGCAAGAAACGCCCCGCCGTAGATAGCGACCCCCCGAAAGCGAGGCCGCCACCTCAATTAATAGATCCACTGCGACGCCCGCCAAAAAGGCGTCCGCGGCAGTCCAACCGGTACCCGAATACGCCGCCGAAAGAAAAGCCAAGCCTCCTCCGCCTATCATCATCCAGGAGAAAGCTAAATGGCATCAAATTTGCGTGTGGTTCGAACGCCACAATATTCGAGACCCCCGGTCGAAGAATACCCATCAAGGTATCCGTGTATACCTCGATAGCATCGATGACTTCCGCCGCGTCACTAAATATTTACGCGAAAACAAAGTAGGTTTCCATACCTACTCGCTGCCTGAAGAACGCAAACTTCGGGTAGTCATAAAGGGAATCCCGAAAGAGTCGGATGTCGACAATGTAAAAATCGACATCCGCACTCAGGGATACCCGGTGCACGCCGTTCGCCGCCTACGTCACCCCAGAACCCGTGTCCCGATGGACATTGTAATGGTGGAGTTGGACCCTACCCCGGAAGGTAAGGCAATTTTTAATTTGAAGAGGCTCTGTGGGCTTAGCGAACTCGTCGTTGAGCCTCCACGGAAGTCAGGCGTTGTTGCGCAGTGTCATAACTGCCAACACTATGGCCACACAGCCCGCAACTGTTTTGCTCACCCTAGGTGCGTCAAATTGCACGCGTCCTAAAGATTGCGCAGATCCACCGGACTGCGTAAATTGTTTGACTACCGGCCACCCGGCTAGCTACAGCAGAAGTTATCGGCCGCCACATGTGGCACCGATCGACTTAATGCGCTCAACGAGCACAAAAAACTTGTAGACGCCCTTTGGGTGTTTACAAATCAACCATAAAGGTTTATAGTCCGGGCAATAAAACCGCGCTTCGCCGCGTCGTTACCTAGAACCGCTACTAAAACTAAAATGGAAAGTACAACCGCAGGTAGATTAAAACCTCGGGCTCTAGTTGTTTCGTATTTTAACGCAAACGGCATTAGGGGCCAAAGGGACGAAATCGCAGAATTCCTTCGCGATTATAACGTCGATATATTTCTAGTGCAAGAGACCTTCTTGAAACCTAGCAGACGCGATCCAAAAATCGCAAATTATAATATAGTCCGCCGCCACGACCGGTTAGCAAACCGTCTGGGAGGTACCTTAATATATTATAAACGGTCCTTGCACTGTAGCCCGCTCGATATCCCAGAGCTAAGACATATAGAGGCATCCGCGTGTAGGTTAGCGCTCACCGGCCACAGGCCGCTTGTACTAGTTTCAGCCTACCTCTCGGGGAATAAAACTCTTCTACAAAGCGATTTAGAAACGCTACTTAACTTAGGCCCTTCCGTGATAATTGCAGGAGATCTAAACTGCAAACACAGCTCATGGGACCCCCAAACTTACGCTAACAACAACGGTAGGCAGCTCTTTAACTTATCTGACGATTTAAATTACAGCATAATCGCTCCTGTGACTCCCACAAGATCCTACGGTGGACGATTACCAGCATTCGACACCGAGTATTCTTGATATCATGTTGTTCAAGGAGGTCTCCCTCGACATCGCGTCGATAGAGACAATCCAAGAATTAGAATCAGACCACAGGCCGGTCCTGTGTAAACTGGGCCAGAACGCCGGCGCGGTCCCTCCGACCAAAACCGTAGTGGACTGGCATCGCCTTGAGGTCAAACTCAAGGCCTTGGACCCCCAGCACATCGCCAACCTACCCGAGACGATAGCTACGTTCGATGACGCAAATCGAGCGATAGCAATTCTTCGCGCATCTATCACTTCCGCAGTTGCAGATTCGGAACGAACAGTGAAACTGTCGGGCGACCGACGGTTTAACTTTCCACCCGACCTAAGACTGCTAATTAGACAAAAAAATGCAGCCAAACGAGCTTTCGACCGATACCGATCAGAATCGAACCGAACCCTACTTCGACGCCTTCAGTTAGAAGTTAAAGATCGCGTATCGGAACACCGACATACCGAGTGGGACACTCTACTAGAGGATATCGAGCCATCGCACACCGCCTACTGGCGGTTGGCCCGCAGTCTGAAAGCAGAGCCCCGCGAATCCCTACCGCCGTTAGCAATGCCTAATAGCACTTCATTAGCCCTAGATGACTCCGAAAAAGCCGAATGCCTTGCGGACAACCTAGAGCAGCAATGTACGCCATCGCGCAAACACATCGACACAGCCCACCTAACGGAGGTGGACCGCGTTATCGAAACTAGGGCTGCGCTTCCACCGGAAGGCTATTAGTAATAAAATCCTTAAAGCTCTCCCTGGCCCACTTATCTGTTTACTGGCGACCATTTACAACACTTTACTCTCCAGTTGTTCCTTTCCGGACGACTGGAAAGAAGCCACGGTTATCGGCATTCGCAAGCCAAATAAACCAGCCAATCAGCCCTCTAGTTATCGTCCCATCAGCCTCCTCAGTTGCCTGGGGAAGCTTTACGACCGGCTTCTATTAAACAGGCTCAAAGACCACGTGTTTTCCAACGGCCTTCTGCCGGCGGAACAATTCGGCTTTCGAGCAAGACATTCCTGTCCCGATCAATTATACCGCCTAACGGAACATATCCTAAAAGGCCTAAATCACCCTAAACATATTATCACGGGGGCTCTTTTCTTCGATGTCGCAAAGGCATTCGACAAAGTCTGGCACAACGGCTTGATTTACAAGCTGTTCTCACTCAAAGTGCCAGACAGGCTTGTACACACCATTCAGGCCTTCTTGTCGAACCGTTCCTTTCGATATCGAGTTGAAGGTGCCCTCTCCACAAGCCGCCGCCTCACGGCTGGCGTTCCACAAGGCTCCTGCCTCTCACTCTTACTTTTTACGCTCTACACGAGCGATATACCAAAAGACCCCCACGTCAATCTCGCGCTTTTCGCGGATGACACGGCGCTCTTTTATTCAGACCGCAACCTTAGTCAACTAACCACTCGATTCCAAAGCGCCGCCAACCGCCTCGGCGATTGGTTCCGCAAATGGAGAATTGAAGTAAATCCCGAAAAGAGTGTGGCGATTCACTTCACACGAAGTACTTACCCGTCACATCTTTATAAAGGTCGTCGCCAATGCAGAAAGCTAGGGCAAATATCTCTTTATGGCCAACCGCTCCCCTGGGAGAAAAAGGTAAAATATTTAGGAGTCACTTTCGACTCGCGTATGTCATTCACAGCGCATATTAATAACGTCCGTAACAGAGCCGCGTTCGTCTCCGGCCGGCTAAGCACTTTAACTAACCAGTCAAGTAAAATGTCCTTAAGACACAAATTACTTTTATACAAAGCTTGCGTACGGCCAATCATGTCCTACGCATGCATGATTTTCGCCCACACGCACCCTACTCGCTTGCACAAGTTGCAAGTAGTGCAAAATAAGTTCATCCGCCGCGCAACCGGTACGCAGTGGTATCAACGCAACGTCGACCTGCACAGTGATTGCAGACTCCCGATGATTCGCGAATTTTTCAAAGACCTGACCAAACGGTTCTTCGATAGAGCCGAACATCATCCCAACCCTCTGGTGGTAAGCGCAGCAAATTACCAACCCGATCTAAACGCGAGCGTCAACAAGCGTCGCCCGCGAAACGTCCTCATCGACCCGGTCGAGGAAGGGGACTTAGGTACGTCGGACCCACCGTCGGGGGTCCCGCCGGATAACACTACACACACAGTTAGTGTAGCAACAAACACATTAGTTCGCCCTCGCCTCCGAGCACGGCGAGACCAACACAACGCGTACACAAGGTACACCCGCGTTCCAGGGCGGTTCTCACCGCCCCCAGCCACCGATTAGCTAAAAACACAGTCGACGGCCATCGGGGTCTCGGTCCGCACCGCTACTTCGATGACCCTTAGATGACATGCCGTAGTTAAACGCACGCATGAGCACATGCGCGGCCCTACCCACAGCGGAGGGTCCAAACCCGTGGGTTCTGGCTAGCCCACCGGTTCTGCGTCAGATGAAGCTTTAATAGTCTCTGGACTGAAAGCACAAACATCAGTTAATACAAGATACAAGACAAAATCTCATGTCTGCCTGTATCAAATAGCAGGAAATCTTAAAAAAAAAAAAATCTCATGTCTTAGTTAAATTTAAAAAGAAAGTACGTGTGTACTTATATACGCGCGGAAGTACACTTCTTTAGCGTAAAGATTTATTTAATGCAATTGATAACGATTTATCAAATAACTATTATACTACTATAGTATTATTGGTAAATGTTATAAATTTGGTATTGGTTGCTATGGTAATACTTTAAAGTTGGTTGAGCACACGCATCGTCAAAATCATATTCATAATTTTTCCAAACACGCCAGAAAAGTATAACTTCAAAAACAATATTTCGCATAACGCAAGCTGAAGAATCATGATTAAGCAAGATATTCATCTATATCATTCTATTTCTATGGAATGAGAATCTGGTAATCAAATGCGTAATAGTATGATCGCTTATTTATCCTATGATGCACCTTGAACAAGCTGCTTGTCTTGACAGAGAGAAATGTGGCAAACAATAAAAGCCAGTTCACGGCTGTTTTGCTATTATTACTACCAATAAATCTGATGTGGACCCGCAAACCGGAAATTCGTATTAGATTTATATTATTTAATACTAGGAAGTACATATAATACTTGAAAGAATTGTATGGGCTCCACAAATTTACGCTAGGATGTTTATATTTAACAGATCAAAATTTTCCACCTATATCTATACCAAGGATATGAATAGATTTGGAGGCAGATGTGCTCTTGTTACTACATAACGGTGCGGGTGAGTGCACAAGGGCTATATTTAGCCTACAAAAAGGCACTATGGTTATTGTTACGCACCCCAGTTTGTCGCACAAAGGAAGGTCTTGGAGGAAAAAAAAAACTTAATTTCACGAGGGATGTATCCCCGACGCAACCTTTAGTTAGGGGAGACCGTTACAAACATAAATTTCATCTCAACAAATGCAGTATTATTTGAATGCAAATAGAAACATTATTTGGATTTGAACGTTGTCAAAATTACTATTACTACGTATAAAACTATTCTTGCTATAGCAATATATTAAAGTCAATAATAATAATAAATCAGCTGTTGTTTCTTATGGTTATTAGAAGCAATATTAAAACTTACTTTATTCTCTTTATATCTACTTAAATCGCAGATGCAATACTCTTTGAAGAGTTTATCGTAATACTTTTTGGCGAGTTGCTTCTCCCAAGTATCGGCGACGTCATCGTCCTCCCATAGAAACTTGTGGTTTTCTCTAATGACGTCTAGGTCTGTACGATCTCCGGAGGTGTTCCGTTTTAGGTTCGAAGTAGAGCCTTTTTTATTTAAACAATATAAATTAACTAAATGCTTATGTAACTCATACGGATTTAAATTACGCAACCTGGCCGACATCGTTAGCGTAACCTAGAACAAAGGGAAAACGACCTATTTAGTTCAGAAGTTAAATGAAACATTATTTGCAACAAACAACTCTTTAATAAAATCGAAAATTATTACAGTTTTCTTTCCATAAAACAGTTATAATTCATATTAAACGGGCCTTAATCTAATTGTCATGATGAGTTTATAACAAAGTGCATTTTCGATAAATAATAAAAATTGCGGTTTAATATAGGCGTCAATAAATATAAGGTTTTCTTTGTGCACAAGTTAATATCTACTCTGAATATTATTGTCAGTCTTGTAGATTTTGTGTTTTTATTTGACTCTATCCATATCCTTAATTCTATAAACAAGTCATGCAGCTAAACCTCTTAGTATTTAAATATTATAATAAATATATTAAAATGTAATTATTGCCTATTCCTAAGTATATAAAACTTGTCATAAAAATATTGTGTTACTGGATGACCAGTTTTTGTTTTCAAATGTGGCACTGCCGATAAATACAACTTTGGTTTAATAGCCAATTACATAATTCATCTACATTAACTTTATTTTACATTATATAATATTATAAAATGTTCTGAAATAAAACATTACATTGTAAAGACCAAGCAATTTAAACATTTGTATACAGAATGATAGTAAATATTTGACTTTGTCATTTATTAAAAACTATGATTTTGCTAAATAACATTACAAGTTAACTGTCACTACTCATTGTGATGATCAATATATTTAACTGATTTAACTACATATACTAAACTATGCTTAAATGTATTCTAGTTGTTCGAAGTGGCTAAACTAAACTCTTTTTCTGAGACCATTGTACAGGAAATAATTTTGGTGCCTTGAAATAGTGCTAGCTAAATATGAACTAATATAAACATAAAATTACTGACTATAGATCCAATTTGGCATGTTTAGATTAACATCTATTCAAATTCTAGTCTAAGAAATTATTTGGTATTTGTTGCAGTTACAAAATATAGATTAGGCACATACAAAATATTATTGCTTTGGTTACAACACAGTTCAAAGAGAATCACTTTTAAATACTTATCTAAAATTTGGCAAAAGGACACTTCATTCACTGGCGTTACTACCATGAAGTAAAGGTTTACAAAAATATACATTTATATTAAAGCTCTTCAGAGAAGCAGGAACAATTATTTGCTTTAGTGTAAATTGGTTTCGAAATATGAAGGCCACAATTTTCAATCTTAAGCAAACACTAGAGTAAGGCTATCGGAATCTTTGGACATAATATGACCTATATCCAAAAGTTATTATATCACTTTATCATATCTAAAAGGCAACTTTGGATTGAGATATGTGTGATTATATTAAAGCACCTATGAAGGCATTAACTAACATTAAATATATCCCAAACATGCATTTATGTATCATATAAATAAAATCCTTAAATCAAAAGCAACTACAGCGGCACACCATGAGTGAAACACTCACATTAACACACCATAATGACTAAATTATGAACTAGACCATCAAACTTGAATTTGGTATAAAACAATGAAAATTTTCATTAAAAACCATATGACTAAATATTTTTGGCAATAAGAGAGTCGGAAACAATATGTCCATGATAAAAGTAACACACTCAACATTTTGAGTGCTACACATTTTAAGATGGAGTTACAAAGTTAATTAATTTGTTTATCATAAATGCATAAGTTGATAGTGTGTTACTATTAACATTAAATGAGAAGTACATGTCAAAATGTCAACCATGAGTTTTCTCATGTTTTTTCATATTATCAGAGCGAGTAAAGGCCTTATCACACACCCCACAGTAATAAGACTTTTGTTTAGTGTGTACTGTCATGTGACGTGAGAGTTCACTTTTTGTTACAAATTTTTTCTCACAAACAGTGCAAGCATGTTTACGAACATTTAAATGGAACTTCATGTGTATGGAGAGTGAACTTGACTGTGAAAATGCCTTATGGCACAGTTCACAAACAAAAGGTCTTTCCCCTGTGTGCTTGCGGAGATGATTCATGAAGCCTGTTTTAGTATAATCTTTTTGACAAAGGTGACAGAAGCTTGATTTTGAATCTAGCATTCCTGGGAAATGACTATTTATATGTTTTCTAAGCTCCCAATAACTAGGAAACTTTTCTGAACACACATGACATGGGTATTTCTTTTCTTCAGTAGGTTTGGCACTGCACTCATGTGAAGTGAGTAGCTGCTCACTGGAGAATATCTGATTACATTGGCTACAAGTATGACTAGCCTCAGAGTCAGTTGACAGAGTGACCTCTAAGTAATTCTCAATCGACATAACATTTCCATTAGAACTATCAGCATCATCAATTTGAGTCTGTGCCAGTTGATCACTGTCTGTATCTTTGGTATCCATTTTTACTAAATAGTCTCTGTAATCTAGCGAGTTTTTATCAGAATTGTTATTATCAGGTTCTATAAGGTGAAGAACTGGTGATTCGCTCTGCTCTCTATCTGGTGATGCCTTTTCATTGTCTGAATTTTCAGGCTTCGATGATACGTTGTTATCGGATTCCCAATCATTTTCAACAATTTCTACATCTGAATCGGAATCTTCGGCACTGGAAGCCGAATTATTCACTAAATGGAATCCAATATCGTCGAATCGTAACACATTTGGTGGCAGCTTAACCCCCACAATAGTCTGGATCGCCTGCCATGAAAGCTCCTGGGGGTTGTTCTGCATATTATATCGCACTACTCTAACCTACAAACGAGTTTTCAGTTGTTACTACGATTATACAAGAATACGCTGTAAAATAGTGTTAAATAAAAACAATAACATTACCTTTTATGTGCACGATATATATATAACTTTCGTTTAAAATAAATATGCAGATGACACTTATTTTCTACATCTAAAAATATTATGCTATACACTGCACTACACTGCTGTCTGTATATGGATTATGGATGCGTCTTTGTCATTGAATTTGAAATTGAATTGACTTAAAAACTTTGGAACAGATTACAGTGTATCTATAACTCACAACAAATAACTTCATTAATAATTTTATTTTACGCAAAATGTACTTTACAACTAATTACTTTATATATTTATGTGTTATGAAAGAAATAAATAAAACATTATCATCATTGTTTGTAATATATTAGTTAATTGGTCATTACATTAATTTATTTATTTTCGGGCAATGCAGAAAAATATTCCAAATGTATTTTAATATTTTATTTTCTCAATGCTTAGGCAATTATGTTTTTATCATTTTGTTCGGGATTATAGCAACCTAATTGTCAATAGCAATAGTCTGATGAAGCTATTTAATGTCTCCGAACTGAAATGACTGAAAACTGATAATACGTATAATTCATCGGGTTTATCTACAAACTTAGCCTTTTTTAAATATGGATTTTATTTAGTTTTTTGTTTTAATTTTGATAGCACATGTAGCAATGGCTCACTTCTTGATGAATGCTACCGCTACGCATGCACATTTACATACACACGAGGGATGTTGTAGGATGCCAATTACAGGGTTCACCCTGTGCCACAATTTATTTCACTCACCAAACAAAATTGTAGTGTATTGTCATCGTTGCACACTTATGTGCACTATTCACTCGCTGTATGTAAAGAGACGATACGTGACACAACACGTTTAAAAACGCCAATACAAAAATTCTTAACTGAATTATGGAAGGCGATGCTAATCAGCTGCTGGATTGATAATTAAAAGATGACCTAAAATATTTCACATCAACTTCTTGTGATGCTGTGGCCTTTTCCCGAGCCGGCTGGCCTATTGCTGCTGCACAGCAGTATTAGTCTGTTGTGTAAGCTGCTATTATTGTAGCAAAGTAAATGCTACGATATAACAATATATATGTATTTTCAGTTATAATCCAAGGTACAAAGTATGATCATTTTATTGCTTTGATCGATCGCAACAAAACATAGTCTGATTACAAGCTTTACTAAATATCCTACAAGAATAGTGGAAGAGTGAATAAAAAAGTGGTGGATTGTGTTTTTTTTTTTTTTTTTTTATGCGGAAAGTTGTCAAACGAGCAGACGGTTCACCTGATGTTAAGTGAATACCGCCGCCCATGGACATCTGCTACACTCGAGGGTTACAGATGCGTTGACAACCTTTTGAAAATTGGGCTCCGGCTATCTCACTCACCAGACGAAACGCGAAAGTATTTGTCATACTTCCACTTTACGCCGGTCTTCTGTGAGGTCGTGGTACTTACCCGGACGGGCCTGCCCATTCGTGCAACAGCCGAGGCTGCTGCGTGGCCCTACCACCGTAAAAGGAACCGTCAACCTTCAACCCGGAGAAGAGTAAAGGAATCAAGTTTAATTTTCATTCCAATTCCACCGAAAGTATAAAAAACCAAGTCTATTAAATTATTCGGCAAAACCAAAACCGAAACAAAATAATATTTTAGTTTGTTATTTACCAGAGAAACTCATCAGGCTGATTGTGGTTGCCACAGGAGTGAGTAAGATGCGAGTAAAATAGAGCTAAAGAATGAATTTGATGTCAACACTGACCTGAAGCAGGAAGATGCGATGTTGAGCTTACCCATTCTGTTTAGCCTAGCACACATGCGAAGATACTGGAACATATTAGAGCTGAGGGAAAGTTTTAATGTCAGAATTATACTACATATAAAGGGGTCGAGAAAGCCAAATATCTGGACTGCATAATAACGGAGACTAATAGTAGGATGGAGGAGATTGAATTTCGCATTCAGGGCGCTCTAAGATGTGCGGCAGCTCTACAACAACACAAAGTGTTAGTGTCTTAATTTATGCACCGGAAAACTAAGATTCTTATATATAAGACCTGCATAAGATCCATCTTAATGTATTGCTGCTAAACTTGGACAGTGACGCTAAAGGAAGAGAATAAGCTTCTTGTCACCAAACGAAAATTATTTCGTAAGATTTTGTGGCCCGTGCAGAGACAAGATGGCACCTGAAAGATTCGAAAGAACCAGGAGACGAAGATGTGTCTGAGCTCAACATTATGGGTGAGTTTTATTAATATATGTAGAAAAAGTACGAAAAGATTGTCGCTGCTGTGGGAATCGAACCCACGTCTTCGGCATTCGCGGCCTGACGCTCTAGCCACTGAGCTAAACGGCTGATAGCCACAGCGCCGAAAATCTTAACGCCTTCTTTCTACATTGTTATTTAGCATTTGAAGCAAAGCTTGGCGCATCTATTGTTATATCCTTTCCAGCATACAAACAATTTCGAATATCGTTTTACAACGATAATTCGAACGAGAGATGTCGCCATTGCTTTTTATAAATGTTAAAGTTTTTTATAGTGCGTTATGGGTGAGATTAAATCGGCGAGACTCCGTTGGTTTAAGCACCCGGAATGAATACCCGCAGACAGGGCGATGAAGAGAGCCTATGATGGATGAGCTGGAGGCGTCGAGGTTCGGCAGCCCAGATACCGTTAGAAGAATGAAGTGGTGAAGGGCCTTCGCACCGTGAACGCAGAAAACTGGGAGGAGATTGCACAAGATAAGGCGCGTCGGTATCGATTCGTGTCGCTGAGCCGGCGGAGTAGTAGTAGTAGTAGTTTGTTATTAAACTGGCAGCTTTAACGGCTTTTATTAGATCATATGTTATCTGTGCTTGGATGCGATCTGTTAACTGATTATTTGATTAATAAAAAGGTCAGATTTGAAAAAAGCGATTTCGTTCGCGGGTTTTTTAACACTGTCTTAATATTATTATTAATGTATATTTATGCTATAATATTTAAAGCATTTTTTTAAAACTAACGCATTGCTTTAATTACTGTGATAGCAATGGATTCGCTAATAGATTTGCAAGAATATCTAAGGAATAAAGATAACACGAGAAATTTTACGAACTTTTCAGGAATTCCATTAATTTGCAAAAAGGAACCCTGTATGTTAGGAGTAGATGAAGCAGGCCGTGGACCAGTTTTGGGTGAGTTCTGTAAAAAAAAAACAATGAATTAAATTCATATTTGTATTTGTTTGATAATCCTTATTGCTATATTTTAGGTCCAATGGTGTATGGGGTAGCTTTTTGCCCTTTAAGCCAAAAATCTGTTCTTCAATCATTAGGATGTGCTGATTCTAAAGCATTAACAGAAGAAAAACGTGACGATATTTTTACAAAAATGTTGACTGAAGATAAATCAAAAGATAATGTAGGATGGATTGCTGAAGTAATATCACCTAACTACATTTCAAATTCTATGTATAGAAGAGTAAAACATTCCTTGAATGAGGTAATGGTCATTCTTTACGATAACGGTATTTTTTTCGTATAAAAATATTTATAATTGATATAAAAACAATAATTACTAAGTAAAAATTGGCCTCAATATATGGATTTTGAGTAAAAAACATTAAATCTTGCAATACACTTTTGGATGACAAAAGTTGTGTCTTCCTTTATGAAATTTGGACTTAAAACAGAAACACTATATACTGAACATAGAATTTTTCTTCCCTAAAAATTACCTTTATTTTAATTAAAATTAATTGTATAGTAAAACCTATGAATAAAAGGATCAAAATAGTATATATAATAATATAAATTGTTTTGTACAATATGTTTACTAAATTGTACTATCTACACTACTACTATACACATACTGCAATATAATAAAATTAAATAAACATGTTAAATGTTATGAATTTCAGGTATCCATGAACTCTGCAATAAGTTTGATAAAGAAAGTCATTCAAGATGGAGCAAATTTAGCTGAAATTTATGTTGACACAGTGGGCCCACCTGAAAAATATCAAGCAAAGCTAGCTGAAATATTTCCCAATATAAAAATAACGGTAGGAATAACCAAAAATTTTAGGATAACTTTAAGAAAGCCTGCTCTTTAAAACATTAGTATTTGATAATTTTACTATTTGTGTGCCCTACAGATAATTGTTTCCAATCTGGGTGTGTTTCCGTGTGAAATTTATGCATGTAAAACATTCTTACATGAATGGACAATGTTATCCTACAGTAAGGGGGCAATGTTTACGAAGGGAAGCCTTCAACAGATTTTCTAGGTTACAGTGGTGGTTGGGACTTACTACACCTATCCACACCCCTTTCTCAAAAAAATAGTTTAGTAGTAGTTTGAAGTAAAAAATTAAAAATAAATAAGTTTGAATAAATTTTATTATTTTTGTTTTTCAAATCATGCTGTCTAATATTCGTATTTGGAAATCAGCGGCTCCATGAATACAATAATGTGACAACAGTTGAATGAGGGAGGGATCCAGCTTAGCAAAAGACTTCACTGTTGCATGAATGGGTGGGTCTGTCCGGGGAGTACCCCAACCTCACAGAAGACCAATGTGAAGTGAAATTTTAATACATTTGTGTTTTGTTTGGTGAGTGAGGTAGCTGAGGCCCACTTTTTAAAAGGTCTAGGCATCTAGAAACCCTCGAGTGTAGCTGATGTATATGGTTGGTGTTAAACTTCTAACTGTGAACCGCCTGCTCACTTGGCAATGTTTCACATTAAAAAAATTATGAGGAGTAAGTGGGTTAATAGTAATATCATCATGACTAATTAATCGACAACTTTTGACCATCACTATTAATTAATAGTTATACTAAAATCTCAAGCATATTCAAAATTATTTAGTATTCGAATAAAACTGTACATGTATCAATATTTAATATTGGATATACTCAGGTTGCAAAAAAAGCTGATTCAATATATCCTATAGTGTCAGCAGCAAGTATTGTGGCAAAGGTGACCAGGGACCATGCACTGAAGGTATGGAAATTCAAGGAGGGTTTGGATATGGATCATACACAATTTGGCAGTGGATACCCTGGAGGTGGGTGATATACTTTTACTTTTCCTTTTCTTCAAATTTGATACATAAAATTAGACAATGACAAATAGATTATAATGAATAATTTCCCCTTCGGAACAAGGTGACCTTATATAAGGCAGTATTTCGCCCTATCATGACGTACGCGAGCCCAGTCTTCGCACACATTGCTCCGAAGCAAATACACCGGCTTCAGGTCATTCAAAATCGATTCTTGCGCGGAGCCACGGGAGCACCCTAGTTCATGCGAATCTATATCAATACCTACATGTCGATCTAGAGTTGCCCACCATCGCGCAATTCCTGAAGTCGGCGTCGCGCCGATATTTCGATTCCGCCGCCGCGCATCCCAACCCACTAATCGTAGGTGCCGTCACCTACAGGCCCTTGCCGCTAGATACTTTCCGCCGCGATTACCGAAGACCGCGACACGTCCTCGACTTCCCTGACGATGAGACGACTATCGCCATCGAAAGGATCAAAAAACTTAAGAAACACACCAACACAAACCGCACTCGCCGGCGAGTGCGGCAAACATATACTAGGTTCCGCCACGTACCTGGCAGATTCTCCGCAGTTAATGATAGTAGCGTTGCTGGAGTTTCTTCCGCCACTTCTTCTCCCAGCGCCAACGCTCTCCGAAGTAGTAGTAATGTTAGCTCTAGAAATTCCCCCAGTCAGATAACAGCTACCGATCAAGCCGAGGTCCGGCCCTCTCGGGCACCCTTGAGCCTGATCACTCCATGGAGCGCCCGCCAAAGCACCCAAGAGCTTGGCGGCCTCCCAAACAGGTGAAAGTAATAGCGTGACCGCCCGAGCCGAGGCTCCCCCGGGAGCCCTCGAGCTTAGTCACCATAACGCGTAATAATACGCCGAGGTTCAGGCTAGGCGCCCCGTGCGCCAGGCCACCTCAAGCCCGTCGGAACTGTAAAGGCCCCTAAGGCCAACAGTGGCTCATCCAGCCCAAAAAAAAAATATGGACAATTTATTACCTTTAGAACATTATTTCCTGGATTTAATTCAAGGTCATTTCTTTCATTTTACGTTCAAATAATTAAAAATTAAATTACCCTAACATTATAATATTAATTTCCCTTTGTGTATCCATCTATAGAGGTTCCCCCCCCACCAGACGACACGCGGCGGTGTGCCGTAACTAACAAATATACTAATTTAATCATGGTTATGTGATAATTGTAATTATTCGGTAGGGATTTAAGTGATAATTGCATTACCATTGTGAAGTGTATCCATAGGATTTATTTCGCTAGTATATGTCCTAAGAATTGCAGAAAGTTCAGGGAAAAAGTGGATCTGTTATATTCCATGCGGGCCTCTTCATAACAATGCTTAGCAAGTTAATGACTTATTCTTTTTTCACCCTACAGATCCATTGACAAAGAAATTTATTCGCGAACAAATAGACAATGTGTTCGGATATCCATTGCTCGTGAGGTTTAGTTGGTCAACAGCGGAACTTATGCTGCAGGAGAAAGCTGCACCATGTACTTTTGAAGAATCGGAAGAAGCTAGTCCGAATAAGAAAGCGGCCGGCACAAAATCAATTAGCTGCTTTTTTTCGCCAAAGGATGAAAAAAAGTCAAGGAAGAGGCACAAATTCTTCGAAGAGAGATGCCTGACGGTCACCAATCCTTTTGAATGATAAATTATATTAATTTAATAACAATAAATGAAGTAAAGACGAGTGCAACTTGATTGTTTCAATTTAGTAAATGTTTATGCTGACACTGTATTAAAAAAATGATTTTAGTGAGGTATTTTAAAGACCAGCGCGAAGTAGAAGTTTTATTGTAAATACGTCTCATGCACGCAGGTCAAAAGTCTTAGACCAGCGTGAACTGAATAGAATAGATTTTTGCGCTTCGTTTGGTAACACTGCCAGCAATTATTCAAAAAATACTCCCATTGCAAACAAAAATCCACTAAAATAAACTAAAATTTACAAAATTCAAACCAAAACTACCTAAATGATTCTCATTCAGTTACCTCCCATTAATTTAAGTATTATCTCCTGGAAAATTACATTGTAATTTTTTTTTCCTAAATTTAGTAAGAAAATTCTTAATTTGGCATCCATGTCGTCTGGTAGGTATGATGATTTGTCGGGAAGGACTGGAGGGGTTAGTAAGTCCCAACGACCACTGCGACCTAGAAGATGTATTGTAATGACGTCCTCGAAGGTAGATAGCCTGCTCCAAACTAACACATTTACTTTGGTAGTGCAACGCAAGTCTTCGCTGATGCACGATTGGGAAGTTCCGTCCGAGTAAGTTCCACGACCTCGCAGAAGAGCGGCGTAAAATAAAATTGTTATAATTCTGCGTTTCGTCTGGTGAGTGAGGTAGCTGGGGTCCACGTTATTAAAAAGTGGCAACGGATTTGCAACCCTACGGGTGTTAAAAAAAAGCTTTTTTTTAAAATGTTAAATTAAACATTTTACGGATTATATGGGGATTCACTAACGACAACCAGTTTGGCCTAGTGGGTAATGAACTTTCCTGTTGCTTCAGAGAGGATTCGAGTAGTGGGGCTACTTGAAAAATATTGTGTGACGAACATATTTTTCTTTCAGTGTCTGGGTGCTTAATATTATTACGATATGTATATATTTAGAAAAGAGAAGTATGGTTTTCAGTTATTAAAAACTTCATTGATGCCGGTACCGGGACTTGAACTCGAGTTGCTCTGAGAGCATACTGAGAGCTATCGCGGAGCACGATCTCTCGTTGCCTGCCGTGGTTCGCGCTATGGTGGACCGCGAGAGGTCGTGGGGTGCTGTCCATGCTTTTTGTGAGGACATAATCACCCTGAAGAAGGCCGCGGAGAGGGAGAGGGACGCAACTGCCACCCTGGGAATCCGCCGCCGGAGACCAGGGCGTAGGAGGCTGGCCTACGCGTGCAACCTTCCCCCCTGATAACAAGCCGCGGGGCGGCAGGTGTGGGACTAACTGCTGCCCCGCGGAGGGCTTGAGAGAGGTGCCGTGTTATGTTCATTGCATCGACTCGGCACCATTTGGCTGGACCCGGTGTCCCAAACACCCGGGGAGAGGAGGCCTGAGAAGGCCACAGTCGCGCCGGGGTTCGCGGTAGATTGCATTTTCGTGTTCCCGTGTCCCCGGCAAAGCGACAGCGCAGGTGCAACTTGGGTTTTTTAGTGGGTACCGTGTAACTCCCACATACAACCGTACAACCGTACAACTCCCTCCTGCCTATAAGGAATAGTAAAGTAGTAAGTAAAGGATTTTTCCAACGTAAAAAAAAGCCGTACAGGGTGCGCTAAAGACTGCGCTTTGGTGCCCCTACCGAGCCCACTAAAATGCATGATCAGGGTCCATTTCGTTTGTCCATGAACTTAGTTTAGTATCCTCTTTAGGTCGCTAATTTCGGCGGAGGGACTAGCCCTATTTTATGAAGTCTAGACTATAGCGTTGCGGTTTGCTAATACCTGCAATCTTAATCTTTCTACCTAACACTGTATGAATTGGTAAATATTTGAAATATTAACTTTGGCGAATAGTAAAAGTAAAAGCAGGTATAGTTTTGCATTATTTCATCTACGGGTTGAATGCATAAATAGGAAATGGAATAATCTCACGTTTCGTGAACGTTTTCTAAACATGTTTCCACAAGCTTTGTTATAAATCGTGTTAAATTTAGAATCCTGAATACGAAAATAGTATAAGGAAACGCTTAAGTACGAAAGATATAGTGATGAAAGTAGTTAATGGAATACTTTGATAGTTTATTGTAAAATGTCTATAATAGCGTTACAGAGAAAATCGAATAAATATTGCATTATGTTAGTTGTATTTAGAACGAGGTAAAATTTAGATTATATAAAAAGTAACTGGTATTCTTTTATTTATTGCTGTTGTCAATTTAGTTGTAATTTTGTTTTCAATATATTATGTAATCATTTCTTTATTTATAATTTAGTTATGTAATTAGTTGCAAAAACTTTTGCGATATCCGTGCAGTTATAGCACTGGAGTTAAGAGTGATGTTTATCGTTACATACATAGACATATAACGGAGATCAGTATAAATCGGTGATATATCAGACATTTACAAATAATTATAAAATCTTAGAAGTGGCTTTTTCCGAAAAACACTTACGATCCATTAGAATTATAACAGCTCTATCCATTCTTTTTCAAAAGCCTTGCCTTTTATGTCTATATTAAAAGTATATTGCCTTCAGATACTAATTTTTTTTATTTCTTGATCGTGATTTCCTGTAATATTTGAATTTTTGCGGAGGTTTTGTAAAAAAAGAACTAATCAAGCTATCATTTTCATAAGCAATGATCGTATTTATTATTAAAAATCTTTATGGTTATTATTTATTATGTAAACCAACAAAGATTGTAATCGTGGTTACCGCGAAAATCGTTACCGAACTAAAGACGCAAATATGCATTACTAGTAGAAACACGGTGCCACATGAGACGTAGAGTAAAAGCTAGAGAACATTCAGATCAGAGCGCGCATATTATGTCACCGTTCGCACTTTGTGTTATTTGAAATATAAGCGTTCTCTGCTCACGAATGAAGTGAAAATGCATTACTGAGCAGTAGAAATTGCCGTTTTACATGCATGTACGCTGGTACCGCCTTTGATTTATAAAACGCACAAATAAATTCGTTGTGTTGGTGGATTTCCAGTGCCAAATTTTGGAACAGTTGCAAAATTGAACGCTCATTGACTCGTATATTAGCTTTCCGTTATGCGTTTGTTATATGCTGTTCGTGAGATCGTTCCGGCCAACACTACACAAGCTTGGCTATAGATTATTATACTTAGCTCTCGTTTGTATCATAACGGTCTAAAAACTTTCACAAACAAACGATCTATTAAGGGTTTCATTTGACGTCAAATGGTCCCTCGTTATGGGGCTCATCCAACAAGGTGAATCGCTGAGGCGGGCGCGTGTCTCCGAACCCCATTAGCATGCATGCTGCGGAGCGAGCCACCTACTTACCATGAGCAATGCGGAACGCACTTGAGGTCACTTGGAGAATTTAATTGTGTTCCATTATCATATTTAGGTTCTTTTACGGTAAGTCAAAAGTGAAAACTGAATGGGGCGCGACGCTATTTGTCATTCGTCACCCGCGATCGATGGAGACAACTTCTTTCGGAAGGCAGCTCGAGGATTAATTGGAAAATGGCGCTGCTGCGTTTTAGTTTGACGATACTATGTTTGAGCGCGTGCGCTTCAGCGATCGTGGGGCCCGTTGCAAACGGAACGAGTAAATCCACGAAGACCGACACCTATTTGGACGCCTACTCGAAATCCCGCGTAGAAGCTGAAAAGGCCAAACAAGGGGTGATAATAATAACGGCGAAGGACGGCGAAACGAAGATATCGAATCGGGACGACAGTTATCAATCTGTGTACGACTACTCGCCGCCATATTCTAACGGCGACAGCAACAATGGTTTCAGTTCGTCCGGCTCGAGTTACTCGGCGCCATCCGCGTCTAACAGCTACCTTCCGCCCTCTAGCTACGGGCCGCCCGTGAAGTTCGAATCAGACAGCAGCTATAACGCTCCTTCGAATACCTATGGACCTCCGTCATCAAGTTACGGACCACCGTCCTCGAGTTACGGGCCACCGTCCTCAAGTTACGGCCCACCAGCCCATACGTACGGTCCCCCTGCACCCACTTACGGGCCACCGTCCTATTCTTACGGACCACCAAGTCACAAGCCTCCTCCCCAAATTTACGGCCCTCCTCTGAAGCCTTCATACGGTGTTCCCTACACTGCACCGGGCCTCGGTTTCCTAGACAAACTGTCGTTGAAACTGGACATACTGACTATCGCCAAGTTGATGCTGAAGTTCCTCATATTCAAGAAGATCGTAACCATGATTGCGGTAGTGTGCATGCTGCTTGTGATACCGAAATTGATTTCATTCAAAAAAGATGACGGTGGGAATGGCAACGCCAACGATGAAGATGATCGCCAATTTGGACACACCAACGGTAGGTTTTTTGCCTTATTCACGTATTTTCTTTGTATTTAAAGATACTGTTTAAAGCTTTCCGTTCATGCTGTTTGGAAAAGCCACGTTTATCGATTTCGTTTTATAATTTCGTCAGATCAAAATGTTTGTATTGTGTCAAGAAATTTCTAAAGTAATAAGGCGTGCTTAAAATTAAATATTACTGAAGAAAACTCGTGGATTGTTATAGCGATAAATTAATTATCAAGTTTCAATTCCCTTTTTATCTGAATGGTATTATTGACCATACGAATGGTTATTATTTTCATCTGTATAGTATGTGTAACGTTTCATTTCTATGGTTTAGCACATAAGCTCCATCTATGACCTCAATCAAAAACAATTTAGTTACACTTATTAATAAGTCCTAAATAAATTAGGTTTTTTTTTAGTTGAGATATTTTGTCTCGTTTTGCAATGTCTTCGCACTACGAAAGATGTATTATTGTGGTTTTTGTTACCATAATCCCGTCGATTACGATAGTTTAAAATGCGCTAATGCTTCTGCTAGGCTAATGTCTCGTAATGCGGCTAATATCCTCTGCCTCGTAAAAGATGGACGATTGGTATGTTTTGGTCGTCCATTTTCGTCCTGTATTGCAGTGAAGCAGTGAGGTAATAAAGAAGGTTTATCCTTCCCCGAAACGTGGTCATCATGCTGTACTTTTTGTCTCGTTCAAAGCCAGATCTCTTCCCCCAGGCAGCAGATAGGTTGTCTTTCGATGATTTCGCTAACAGTTAATTGCGCGTCTAACTTAAAGAAAGTTTTTTTAAGGACACATTTTTACACAACATTTTCTAGTCCCAAACTAAGCTACGCTTGTACCATGCGTACTAGAAAACTGATATACATACTTAAACATACTTTTCTTTTGTAAATAAGTTCATATTATACATAATACATAAACACCCAGACACTAGAAAAACACAATGTTCATCACATAATATTTTTCCAGTAGTGGGGATCGAACCCACACCCTCTAGCGCAGGAGGCAGGTACACTACCAACTACGCCATTCGGGTCGTCGATTAATAATTCATCTAAATTGTTTCAGCGCTCTCTCTTAAGTATATATAATAACCTATACAAAATGTTTAAAAATTTACAGAAAAATATCAATATACATAACTCATAAGTAAATAAAAAATATTTAGTCACGAATTCTGTAAATTCAAGTAGACAACTTGAAACACGTAACTGAAAGTTAAAAGTAAATTCTAATAAATCCGTTAAAGTTGTGTTGTCAATATTGAATTGTAAATTTATTGACAATATTTTTTTAAATGCTTCATTTTTGATGCCTCAGCTGACAGCGTTACAGAATACTCGGCTGAATCGCTAAGTTTACTGTTGCTTCTCTTCTTTCTTTTTTTATGCAAGAAGGGTCAAGCTATCTGGCGGTTCACCTGATGTTAAGTGATAACCGCCATCCATGTACATTTCCAACACCCTTAGGGTCGCAGATGCGTGTCACCTTTTAATAAAGTGGGCCCAGGCTACCTCACTCATCGTCTGATGAGTGAGGTAGCCTGGGCCCACTTTATGAAATGCAGAAGTACGACACTTCCACTTCACGCGCGTCTTCTGTGAGGTCGTGGTACTTACACTGAGGATCTGCCCATCGTGCAATAGCCGATGCTGTTTCGTGGCCCTACCACAGTTAAATTCTCTATTATAAACATATTAACATCCGTAGTACCTTACCAAGTACCACACTCTAGATTAATCAGCTTTTTATAGCATTGATAATGTGTCTCATAACAGTTATAGAGTTGACATCAGCGCACCAGTTGTTGGAAAGAGCTATTGCAGTCTACGGCCGTCAGCAACCTGGCTGCGGTATCACGTGCCGCGTACGCAGAGTCATCGACGATCTGTACGAGTTTCAACCTTATTTCAGGTACGTATTAATTGCAATTTCGAACGCTTGTAACGCACATGTGCGCTTTGTTATGAAAGCTGTAATTTAAACATCATAACTATGTTTACATGCAGCTTTACGCGTGTCACGTTTTCATTAAATAACTATCAAACTGTTATCTGAAGAAGCGAACACCCTTTAATGAAAGTTAATTGCGATAAAAGAATAAAATGAAGTAATGATTAGTATATATATTAATAGTATATATAATTGCAATGGCTATAACCATAACAATATGTTTGTGACGATATAATATAATTATAGATAATCATATAAATAATTTGTTTGGAAGTTTTTTAATCCCATTCAAGAAAACATTTTTAAGATTTTGCATTTGGCACCAAGTTGTTGTGAGTTGAACTCTGTCAATAAATAAATGTACTTACCTATATCGTTCGAAAATATTATGGAGCCGTGTTACAATCAAATTTACTAATTGTATTAAGTATTTTCTAATTTAATTTTAATATATTTTTTTTCAGAATGAATACGTCTGAAGATTAGAAGGTAAAGCCTACGATTTAGTGCCATTTGAAATTAGAGAACAAATCATGTTAACATATTAATTTAATTTAACGTATTTATTGAATTGTTATAGGTTTTAAATAAGTTTATTTAATAAATTATTGTTTACGTTATTTAAAAAGAGACTTTTTTCTTCTTGTTTCGACCGAATCAGACGATGTCCAAATCTAAGATACCAGAGCAATTATGGCATATAATATAATTTCTTGGTTAAAAACCAATGTAAATTCGTAGATACGATATTTATGTTCTGCAAAATTCTGTCTAGTTGTTCTAATTAGTGCATACGTAATGTCTCTTAGATGAGATTCAATGTGAAACACGTTTGGAGTTTATATGTATTTATACAACGTCTCATTACAACAGAATTAAAACACTCATTCATTAATTTAAACGGTTTCACTCTTTTAGTGAAATTCAACTTTCCCTCTATCACATTAGGGATCAAAGACCGGGGCCTCATTTGCTAACAATGCTACACACGGTCCCGTAAGAGGCCACCACTGAATACTAATGATTGATGTGATTCGGTTTTCGAATGCTTGTGTTTCGTTTAAACTATACCACTATTAACTGAAGAAATTAAGATGGGAATTAATCAGTCTATAAATAATACTCCCCTGCTGGGCACTTGCGCTATCACCTAGGATTATCGAACATTTCTCGACATTTTCTACTGACTTCTAAAAAGGAGCAGGATCTCAATTCAATTGTATTTTTTTAACATTTGTTCAATGATGCTTAATAAAATAGATGACGCATGTCCATACTGCGAGGCGTTTAAAAAATGTTCCGCTTAACATTATAATTGACATAATTATGTGAATGTGACAGATGATATAGAACACATGATACGAAAAGAGTTAACAGTCTCCAGAATCGAAATGTAATTACACCTATTGGCTTAGTTTGAGCGCACTAGTGCACTGAAACTGAGGAGTTTCAGTGCACTAGTGTCATATCATATCTTACCTCGTATTTGTATATCATTGGATATACATCAGAGAACACAAAATCAAATAGAACGTGTTTTGCGTGTCAGATATTATCGTCGATAGTTTTATCTTTTGTTAATAAAATTGAAGGTACTTGCTTTTAGACATTTCTTCAAAGACTCCATTCAAGATGGTGTGGATACAACCAACAGTTAATCAAATATACTCATGAATATCTCGTTTATTTTAGAAATATTTGTTTGGTTTTACGCAATGCATAATTTAATGCATAATAAAAACTCGCACTCCAATCCGGCTAAGGATGCGATGAAAGATTTTTCTATTACTAGTCGGGCTTATAAAATAAAAAAGTAAAGTAAAGTAAAGTAACAGCCTATACATGTCCCACTGCTGGGCAAAGGCCTCCTCTATATAGAGGGGCAGTCCACCACGCGGCCCCATTGCGGATTGGCGGACTTCACATATCTTCGAAATATTTTTTTTTATTATTATTTCGAAAATATGCAGGTTTCCTCACGATGTTTTCCTTCACCGCGGAGCACGTGATGAGACAGCACTTAAAGTTAAAAACTTCATTGGTTTGGCACCAGGGATCGAACTCAGGTTGCTTGAATTAAAGGCGAGCGCCCGGACACTGAGCTATCACGGCTCGGTGTCTATAAAATAAAGTAAGTAGTAAAAATAAAATAAACATTATTTCGAGTAATGTATCATTTGTAGCCATGTTAAGGATTTCTGGGTCGCATATATTATATTTCCAAGTCATGTAATGTCAACCCAGGGAATGATTGATGAAGATACAGATTTTTGGGGTTTATAAACATAATTATCCTATATATTTTGATAATTTATTGTTTGGGAACTCTATTCCAATTATATTAGTCAACATGACCTTCACGACCAACATTTTTCAACTAGACAATCTAAGAGAAAATATCAGTTCATTTCAGAAGAAAATTCAACGTCTGCGAACTACTTTTTTTTATGTAAACAGATGTCAAGCGAGCAGGCGGTTTATCTGATATAATACTTCCATTTCAAGCTGGTAAAGGCATGGTACTAAGTACTTCCTCGGACGAGTCTGCCCATTCGTGCAACAGCAGAGCTTGTTGCATGGCCCTTTGACAGTTAAATATCTTGATTTATATTCACTATTTACGGCAATGATAAAAACTATAAATAAGTATATACGATTAAATATCGCAATTATTAGCAATATTAAAATTCCTTCGAACTTCTAATAAATCCTAACTAAATTCTGACTGAGATGTTATCTTTATTACCGTTAGGGGACTAAGTATGTACATAGTAGTATGTTCATAGTAGTATGTCCATCATCCTTTGGATAATTTAAACCAATTTAGACAATTGAGACCGATTTAGACACCGCAGAGGGCAGGACATTCGTATACGATTTTGGAAAGAGAATTGTTTCCTGTATAAATCACTTAGTTATCTGCTAAATAAAATGTTGAGGAAGCTAGGATAGGGTATAATTTTTCTTGATGTTATTATCTGTTCTCAAAAAGTAAAAATTAATATGGATTAATTCAAATTCAACACACAACGGGAAGCCACCGACTAGTAATATACGTTAAAGTTTTTTTTATTTTTAAATTTACAAGGTGACGGTTTATTATTGCCAGACTCTTGACCCAATAACGTTCTATTTATAAGGTATCGTTAAAATGGAAGGATCGTATTTAAAAGTTTCGTTTTCCTGCCAAAAATTCAGGAAAAGAATTGTGGATGCCTTGAATTTTATATCTATTTTTATTTTAAGAATGAAGACAATATTCAACGAAATCTATTGCTGTAAATTCTGGCTGCTGTCCAAGCCGGTAGGTCAATGTCCCAGATTTTTAACCGGAATTTAAATATATTTATGTACTCAAGTACGACTAACAAATAGGAAGTCATCGAACCCAGGCTTAAATTATTGTTCAGTGCACAGCCAAAATGCTTTGGCTTTAAAACTTTCAGAAATATATTTTGTAGTCGTATTTCCACGCATAAATTGTTGCCAATTGTAGCAACAGTATTATGAGTGGCATTGAATAAATAAGTGGATTTTGAGCTATTTCGGGCACCTTCAGCATTACGAGTTTTAATTGATGTCGGTGAAAAGGCGGATGCACTCAACAGCTGATCAACAGTTATATTGGCAAATACAAGATTGTAATTGCAGGACCGACCGTGGCTGCTAGTTCTGGTTTGACTAGTATCATCTAGTCAGTGTGATTCTCATCCCTTATTAAGGTGGACAGTTAAGCCGGGAGTACAGTAAAATCTATCGGCATATATAGCAACGATTTTCTATGAATCGTTAGTGGTACGAGAGATGTACCGACATTTTTGATTTCACCAAAAACTTAAACATAGGCAGTTATGAAAAAAAAATGTACTAGTAGTAGTAGTAGTAAGTATGATATATTGGCGTGTTTATTTTCAAGAACTCGGTTACGATCTTGCAGTGTGATCTTAACCGCGCAATACGTGCATTTTCATATTAAGTAAGTTTCATGTTTGACATAACGTGCAGTTACTGTACAAGTAACCATCGGTTTCTTGTACAGTAAGTTTTTCTGATATTTCAAAAAACCTCTATCTACTAACATAAGGTTATGTGGAAAGAACTACATGTAGTTAGTGTTTCCTTCTTTCACGGAGTAAGTACACAATGGAGCGTCAGTTAGTTTTGCACAGAGATAGTTTAAGGGCCGGGGAGTTATACAATTTCTCTATGGCCTGAAAAAAATTCGGTACCTTTTTGGAAATCATCTAGTCATTGAAAACCACTTCCACGAAATCGATGTCTATGTGCGGGCAACAGATATTCCTTTGATTATCTGCTTGCCAAGTTATAAATCGGAGAGCTGCTCGTAGTAACAAATAAAGGAAGTGTGTATTGGACATTATTTATGCCCTTTTAGTGTGTACGCAGATTTATTTACCGTTCCCGTCAGTTTTGGCCACTCTGAGTAATTTAAAAGCTTTTAGGCGTGGTCTATAGCATGTCTGTTAAAGTGCCTATGTTATGGCCAACAACGTAGCAATGTCGAAGTCGCACGACAATGAACTTAGCGGAAACTGTTGTCACGCCCGCAGCTACGCACAATGCCCTCTGGATGGCGTCACAAATAAACACTGATAAACGACAATAATTAACCAGTCCTTAACATGACAAGGAAGCAAACGAGTTAATAGTTTGTATATAGAACGTGGAATTGTTCAAAATAATTTGGGGTGTTCTCTATACGGCAGTTGGCTCGTAGTAGTATAAAGGATGATTTCATTGCAAATACTTGGCTAACATGAGTAACTATCCAATGAAAAGATGAGGAATGATGATATTGATTTACTTTTTACGTGGATTTCTTTACTTATCGCATCAACTATTTAATGAATTTGGTTGATATTACTTTTACTGTCGAGTTGCGCAACTAGCTTGAAAAGCGGCGCGAAAAATGGATGCTCTATTAAGCCCATTGTGGAGGAATGGGCTAGTCTGGCGATGAGTCAAGTGCAGGAGCAGCGGCCTGGAACGCGCTACCTCACTACGGAGTCCGCACGTGGTGTTGCCACACGTGTGAGCCGCAACACCATTCTTCCAACTATGCTCGGGTGTGCGCGTGCCTTTATGGGCTAACTTGTAAACTAGTAGACCCACCTCACAATACAGTGATACGTCCAGTGTTTTTGTATAGTGTGTCAGTGGCATGGAATTAACCAAAATTATGACCATCAATCTATAATGTAAGTAGTTTAATTAGTACTTTAGTTATCACTCTACACTGTTAAAACGATACATTGTATTTAATACTTGCATTCATTTAAGACTAAAATTTATTTACATAATTTAAATAAAAAATAATTTTTCATTCATATAAAAGATAGGCATTTATATCACTATTAGAGTATATTTTTTTTATTTTACCGTTTGGTACGTTAACAGAGCAATAGCTAATATTAAAGAGAAAGGATTTCCCATTTACTTTGAATAAAAGCTTAAAACCATAAGACCTACTTGTTCATTGAAGCGAGAATACCAAGTTTTACAAATTTTTGGGTCGTGAACGCATAGTGCAGGAATAGGCGATTAGATATTAATAAAAAGAAAAAACGAAAACGACTGAAGTGTATAGGTTTTTCCAGTAAATGTTGCATTCATATCGTTAATGTTACAAATAAATAAAATTCATGATATTATTAAATACAATAAAATAAGAACAATATATTAAATTCCAAAATGTTGCCTTATTGTAGTATTTCCATATATTATTTCCTTATATCATATTTAAATTCTTCGAATTTTCTTTTCTGCAAGAGCAGAATCGTTTGTAGAGTTGGTAAGCTCTGAAAGAGAAACATTAAACAGTATTTCAAAACATGCAGAACACCTTTAGACATAGTAAATCCCCATTTCAACAAAGAACAGTTGTTCGTAATCAGTCAGCGTTATTAAATCTCTAAATGAACATTAAGATGACTCATTTAATAACAGAGACCGACCCACTTTGTACTTTTAGTTAGTGACGTACAAAAAATAAACATCTTCACTTATCTTCCACACCTTATCATTTTATCAATTTAGATTTTATATAAAACTGTTCGCGGATAACAGTTTACTTTGTACGCAGTTCAACCGAAACTTATTAACAGAACGTTTAAGGGCAATATCTAAATAAAGATTTATTTTTAGAAATAGGCAACTGGTAGTTTTCAGTTCTAAAGTGTAAGTCATTGTGTTATTTGAAAAAAATGCTCTAGATTTTATGTTATAGTACCGAGTGTTTGTGATTGTACGAAGTAATTCTAAATATTTGTTATTGAATCAAAGGTAAGTAATTGCTTATTTTACATCAGTGAATCCAACCGATAATCGCTGATGGACATCGATACTTAAAGGTGATAATATAGGGGAAAGTACTTCACGCATATTTATTGAGCAATTATGATGATGATTCATTATCTCCATGTAAAGGAGGGAATATTCTTCTGGCGTTGCGCCAAACTGAGAGTTTGAATTCGGTTTGCTTAGGATTTAAAAAAGATTTAGGGCAGCTGTCGTTCACATGCCGGGCAGTTGCTAATTTTGGGCTGCTTAAATATTTATTTCTCTTCCTGTTATAAAATAAAAGCCCCCGAGGTACATTGACCTCAATAATTCTTTCATCCGAAGCTCCAAAGGCAAATTAAACAGTTGCTTGTGATACTTCCTATTAATAAACAGTCTGAAGTGTAATATACGAGAACAACCAAATGTAATCGGCATTTCAAACAAAAGAAAAAAAGTATCAAAAAGTCTCACTCATTGCCGAGCAAAGGCCTCTCTGTACAGAAGATATTACAGAAGGTACTCAGGTTGCTCGAATACATTTAATGAAAAGCGAGCGTGGACACTGGAGCTATCACGACAGAAACCCTACTGAATATTTTGCTAACGGAGAATAACTCCAGCTTACATAACTGCTTTCTGCGCGGTTAACTCGACTGGGGATATGCCACGGCCTCTCACTAAACCGGCGTGCAACAAAAATATTTGCGTTTCGTCTGGAAGCCCACACTCACTGGTAGGCACTTGGCACTCTGCCACGTATCCAGGAGCGGCGGACTTCCTTTTCTTTACCTTTAGGTTAACCCTTCTTAAATCAGTTGTGAATCCTTTGAAATACACAATCATACTAAATATCATGCAATGGCTTCTGTCCACACAGATCACAGTTCTTATTCAGAGGTATAATACACATGCGTGGCACTGCCAACTGTGCTGGATTTCAAACCCGTGGGTTCTGGCTAGCCCACCGGTTCAGCGTTCGATGAAGCTTTAATAGTCTCGGAACTGAAAGCGTTAACATCAGTTAATACAAGATACAAGAATACTTTTGCGTCTTTTATAATTATTCAGCTGATCAGGGCTCACGAGGCTGGCAATGCGTTTTCAACCACAGCTGTTGTAAATGTTCAAGGGTGGTTGTAATCACTAAACATTAGGTGCACCGCATGCTCGCATGTCAAATAATGAAACAAAAACAAACCCGCAACTGGGAAGACAGTCAATTTTCGCATAGCGATTGTTTACCCTTGTATTTTCTAATCAGAATTTAGTAGCATCGCCATCTAGACGTTTGTAAGAGTGTGATTGTATGAAATATTCCTTAGTACACTTGACCTTATGAAGAAAACTAAATAATAACGATAAGTATGTTAGGAGATGAATTATTTTAAAAATAAGGCATTGTGAGAGATAAAAGTGGAAAGGCAGCGATTGGACAGTTTGGGAAGTTTGATTTACGATGCTGGAGACTAATGCCCGGTTTCTCAAACATTGCGAATCCCAGTGACGTACCAATGTGTGTTATGTTTTTGGGAATTTCATCTCAAAAACCACAAAACTAGTGGACAGCTTATAAATGTCTATAATTTTTTTTTGTTGTTGATATTTAATGGAGCAGTAGCTAAGCCGTTGGCTTCAGCGCGGTCCTGCGTTCGATACCCACACGAGACAAACATCTATGTGAACAACAGAAAATAAATAATAAGTTTCGGATATGGATGTCAGCCGTCGTCAAAAAATCCTAGGCCAATACCAATTATAATATAATAATATTAATAACATAATTAGATAGAATAAATCTTGTAAATATTAAAAAAAAACAATTCACAAGTTGTGCCGACACGACCCCACCCAGCAGAAAGAAGATAAATAGTTTGATGCGTGATGCACGTTTTCGTTTTTGTTATTCAGCCTATAAATATATTCCTTCTTTTTTAATACCTAAGCCCTGTTGATATGACGTTATAGTCTTTGAAAAACTCATTTCAGTTCGTAGTGTTGTAATACAAATTAATTACAAATATATAACTAATGAATAGGCTAGTGCAGGCGGACGTGGGGTATCTCGATAATTCCTTTCGGAAGGATGTTATTTGCCCGGCCTATTGCTAGAAATCGCTGTTGCCGCATCCTTTGAAATCAAACGGCGTAACGAGGAGGTGCTACGTACGTACATTCGACGACTGCATAAGCAACCATCTGTTTTGTTATGTTGATATTGTCAAGTTAATTTCAACAGTTACGGCGTCCGCGTCAATTGTTATGAATTTTCGCGGACGAAAAATTACTGAACGAGCCGACACTATCGTCAAAGTAGCATATATATAGTATAATATGCCAATTTCGCTGCCCTGTCTCAAATGAAAAATGTAAAGTTAAGTAACAAGCCTGTGTCCCACTACTGGATAAAGGCATTCTCTGTACAGAAGGTATAAGGTAAATAGTCTACTATGTAGACAGTCTATCACAGCGATGAACACGTGATAAGTATGCACTTAAAATTAAGGATTTCATTGGTGCTGGCACCGGGGATCGAACTCAGGATGTTTGAGTAAATTGAATTAAAGGCGAGTGCCCGCTGAGCTATCACGGCTATATAATATACATATAAAGTAATACCATTTTTGTTTAATTTTTTTTTTGTATAGTGTGAAAACCGCAATCACATAATTAATTCTATCCATAAACTCGTATAACTTTATGTTAAATTATTACAGTACGAAGCAAAGGTATCTATCACCTATTAGTATCCATGTATTATACTGTAAAGATAACGCATATAATTAATGTAAGTGTATTTTAACATATTTTTTTTTCGTTATTGCATGCCTCATCAAGAGCTAATTATAGTACATTCAATATATCACTATAAACTGTAAATTTTATGTCTACTTGAAATTATAATGAGAATTATTTTTACATTTTTATATGAATAAATATATAGGTATCTGTCTATCGGTCCCAATACGTGATCATTTCTAAACAGACTTGCGGCAAGTGACATATCCAACAGACCAAGAGTATCTAGTTTGCGTCTGTGCAGCGTTAGAAAGTACCGACAACCGGAATTATCGATTCGATTCCGACTGGCTGAGCAATGTTTTATTACAATTGTAGGTATATTACAACTCACAATTCAGCAAATTAACTATTATAATTAAATATTACAACCCGATCCTGTTAGGTACCCTCAATCTCGACTACATACCGCGTCTATAAATAGCATTACTATTTTAATCTAAAATAATAATAGTAGTATCTCAACAAAAAATATTCACTGAGAAGGTTGTCATAAAACATTCTGTTCATTAGATAATAAGAAAACAGTTTTTCTCAAAAAAAAAATAGGTATAATAATTATAAATGTTGTAAATGTTTATCTCTTCTTAGTTCTTATCTTAAACATAATTGTCATTGTTTCGCTGAATTGTTAGATATTGATTAACATACAGACACACATACTTGACATAGTAATTGTTATCAATCTTGTATTCTTTAAAGTATTTGTTTTATACAATATTAATTTTAATTGAATTTTTAACAATATTTATTTGTCTTATACATTGTTAACTAGAACATATTTTTTTTAAATTATGTTCCAAACTAATTTTAAATTTTGATCTCAATTTATTTTTGTTACAGTTAACGAGACAAATCTCGTGGGAGTCATCGAAACACAAAGACCTTGCTAATTGTTTTGTTCGTTGCTAAGACAAAGACAATGCCAGAAATAGGGCCGATGATGCGAGCGCTCGAGCTGCAGCGGCTGATCGAAGACAAAGTGACGGAATGGCGCGAGAGGTCAGCGCGGGTCGCGGGCGCAAGCGTCGCCGACTCTTATCAGCAGCCACTCAACTTCAAGAGGCACAATAACAGACGCAAAAACAGCAGTGAAATAAACAGAATCATCGCAAAGTACTCCAAAACGCGCAACAGAACTGGCGAGAAGCACAGCGTGCTGCAACACATACCTGAACAGCCGCCGACGCGACCTGCCAGGCATAAGAAGCCCTTTGCTAAACTGAAATCGTCAAGGAGCGAGGATAACCTAGTCAGCGTTGGATCAATGGACGTTCACGCGCACCCGGACCCCGAAAAGACGCCGCCGCCAAGGTTCAACCTAACCAAATACAACGCCAAAAGTTGTGAGGACATCACAGCGTTTGTTGATATCGATCACACGATGAAAAGTAAACATTTTCAGGAGAAAAGCATTCTGAACGCGAAGCCGATGTCTCAAACACGGCCGAAACTGCATAGTATATGCGAAGACATGTTTGATATTTCCGAATTCAAGGACAGTGGTGTGGAGTTAAGGCACAAAGATAACTTTGCAACGTCTACTCCTTTAACTAACAGAAGGACATGTCCACCTATTGATTCAGTGTCAATGATCAGTTTCGATAAGTGTACAAAATTCTCGCGTAGTGATGTTGACAAACTTAGAAAGGGTAGTTCGGAACCAGACATCTTAAGTGATAAGTCCAATCTAAAATTGGATGAGCAAACCAGTGACGCAAAAAGTTTGGACGGCAAGAAACGGTGGAAGATTCTGAAACCACACTTTCGGAGAGGAACATTCGACTGTATACTACGCTGGCGTGGGAAAAAACCACAGCCATTACAAACCAAGTAAGTGATTCATTTCTTTATGTACATTGATCTAAAATTTGAATCTTTGTTTTAACATTTTTACATGTTGCAAATAATAACTAAAATAGATCAATTTATAGATATGAAATAACATAACAAAGGTAAGATAAATGGGACTAAATATATATACTATTACAATAATAAACTATACTAATAGTTTTATTCTGAAAAAAAAAAAAGAATTCGTTATTATTTTTAAGAGTCCCTATATATAGAATAATTAAAATTACACAAGACTTCAATATGTGGCCATTACACATATATAATCTTTTTAAAGAAATAAATACAGGGTCTAAAAATATAAATGTTTATTTCTGATTTAAACATATCATAAATTTGTTATGATCAAAAACAATAGTTTTCTATGTTATTAAAGGTTATATATATATAATTGCTGATGTGTCTTAGAAAGAACTAGAGCTAAGGGTCTATAAACAGCTAATAAGCTTATAGCTAAGAATATTTTTATAGAAGCGCCTAGATATTTTAGTTGGCAAAAGAGGTGCATTGATCACTTGCTATTTTTTATTTCAGCTAGTACTAACTCCTAGATGAATACCTACACTTATCTGTGCTATTTTGTTTTTTGTAGCCGTTAACAATAAATATGTAATAATAAGTGTGTTTCTTAGTCATCAGAATATATATATTGTGTGGCTTTAATTCCAAACCGGAGTTGTTTAGGTGTTAGCTCGAGTCCAATTTTCATAAGGAGTAGAAATGACTTGGTAAAAATATGAAAAAGTAAAATTATTAATTTAAATTTTCAATATTTTAATTAAGTACGTGAATCTAAAGAAACACATTGCCTGTTTGCTGAAAAATCATCAAAAAAAGAAAATGCTTTTAACAAAAAATAAATGTTACAAAATTTTTCTAATGTTACATTAAAATGTTATGTTTCTTCATCGGACTGTGAAGTCATGAAGTGACGAGCTTTGACTACATTTATTGGTTTGTGATAGTTTAATTTTTTTTCGTTGATCATAGGCTCCTTCTTCACATAGAAATTATCCAATGAAATTTGTATAATCCAAAAGCAAATTTTGTGACTTTCTTTAGGACGCAACGACATGTAATCAACTAATGATAAAAATTGCCCTCACATAGATATTTGGAGGCCAATGAGCCACTAGGTCACCCGTCCAGTCCCTTAGCCTTGTCTATTAAGTAACGATTCCTTTCACAGATAAGTAAAATCACAGTTTAAAGCAATCAAGTATCAATTGCATGTATTTTGTTATTAGAACCATCTGGTTCAGTAGATGTACAGATGTGTACATTTTACAAATGGTTTCGTAATTGCGATGATAATTTGGACTTACAAAGGAATATGTTAAAAGAGTCCTGTTAGGGAAAATTGTCAAAATCCGCACAGAGTGCGTCTTAAATATTATAGCAGTTTTTATAAAGTATGATTTTCATTTATCGTTTGTAATTCAATTAGTTAAGTGTTCGTTTTTTAATAGATTAATTTTTATTTATTTTATATAAATAATCTAACTTAAATAACCTTATGACGACTTTTACATTAGGTAAATCTATTTTATTTAGTACCAATACCCTTTAGGGCTAATGCCAATTTCTTAATGTAAATGTATATATGGCTTTATACAATTTTGTCCTATGTATGGTTGACTTTATTGATACGGTAATTGATGCGCCATATGTAAAATACTCAATATTCTTGTCACCAATAATATCTTATCTTTTTTGAATTATTGATATAGGAGCAACAATAACACGGCGAATTAGTAGTCACGATTATAGCCGATGTTGTGTACCTGATGAATGATAATAGTGCCGGCTGGCAAGCACGGCGTTTTGCGTAAATCGTTAGCAGTGTACTTTCGCAGACGAACCCAAGGTCACTTATAATTCAACGAGTCCATAGTAACGACTACACAGATTAGTAATCATAGATGACAAAGATCCTTTACCAATAATAAAATAATCCGCGTGGGTTGGGATACAAGGATCTATATGAGCTACTTATATAAAAATTTAAAATAATCATTGAGACGATGAAAAATATGCTCCTTGGTTCAAGTAATGCTCCGATAATTATTACACTACTATATTTTTTGTAAATAATCAATTTTGTATTAAGCGTTAATTCGAATATTCATCAAAAACTTTATACATATAACAAAAACTTCATATATAATGTAACACATAATTGGTGAACCGATTATGCATTATATACATACATTAGAATATTAATAGTGCATAATATAATAGTGCGACATAAGAATTTATGTAAAGATTAACTTTTCTTACGGCTTGTTAACAAGATGCGAGGAGAATCAACGATCTATACAACATAGGTAATATGCATGCTTAGTCCACGTGGGCGTAGACTAAGACCTGATAAACCTCAGTGCACACAAAAAGATATGTGCACACTGCACTGAGGTTCAGACGGCCATCGACTGTGCTAATCGTCAGCGGGGAGGGGTAGAAAACTCTCAAAATGCGGTTGTAACGCGTTTCAGACGATTTGGATGAATTTTTCTTCAAAGAACGTTTGGTTAGATCTGTAAAGTGATCATGTCGGGAGCCGGTAAACACAGTGCAAATCGTCGTTCCTTTAACACCAACATACACCGGACGCAAGATGGATGACTTGGTTTTCACCAACTTGTTTTAGGTGTCCTCATGAAGTAAGCAAGGCATGCAATATATTACGGGTCGTTCCTAAGCCTTAGACAGCTGGATTTGGATTATACAGCAACCGCTTGCTTGTTCAAGGATTTCAAGAATTATAAAGTTGGCATGTAACGAATGACTTTATTTCTCAGATAATTTATTTTGGCACTAATCGTTGTAAGTATCCCAAAAAAGTTACTGCCCTCCATCCTACTTTTAACTTCTAGCTAATACCATTTTTAAGTCATTTAACTAACGATTATAATGCGTTTCCAGTGTAGAAGAGAATATAATATCGAGAGATATCATGAGATAGAAATAAACTATCGTATGCATTTACGTATGCGTACTGAAAACGCCGAGAAATCCAGTAACGGTTTATGAGAGCAAGAAAAAAATGCAATTTCATTTATTCAAAACGCTTGTCTCTCAATTTTGTTAATACGTACCAAACTTAAAAATATCAATTTATACTTGCGGCTAAGGCTAATAAAGTTTAATAAAGTGTAATAGCGAACTGAAAACTTTATTTTTTTAATATTTTCGAACAAACATTAAATTATGAATATAGATATTAATACATAATAATTGGTAATAAGTGTTTTATATTATAACTAGCGGACCCGAAAGACGTTGTCCTGTAAACTGGAATTCGAAAACAACTTATAAATAAAAAATATTAAAAAAAAAGAGAACCGAATTGTGTATCTAAACCAGATATATAGATATATGAAGATATATATATATATATATATATATATATATATACATATATATATATATATATATTAAATATTTCAAATTATTAATAGCTTTTTAATTATAAAAAAAAGGAAACAGGAATGAAATATGGATTGAATTTGAACTACCTCTACATCGGGCCACATAAAACAAAACAAATACAGTCATATATAATTTGCTTTAACTGTAGTAAGGTTATTCCTATATAATTATGGGAATTCCTATATGATGCAGCAGAAACCAGTTAAATTGTCTAGCAAGTCTTGTAAACGATTTGTAGAATCTTGTAGCTAAGAAACCAGTAAAACAATTAAAATTAATGTAAACATAATTTAAACGTGGTGTGCTTGTCAGCGCAGCCATCTCACAGAGATTAATAGCACAGCTAGAATATAGAAAGGATAATTTACCTAATATTGACAATGTACCTATATCACTCGTACATTATTTAGTTTTTTTTAAATAACATTTGTAACTAATAAATTTTAAAAGAAACCATTTTAAAAGATAACGACACGCTATCCAACTGCATTTACATCATCAGTGAAACAAACATATAAAACATTTAAAAAAATCGGCAAGAGTGATTGAATTTAAAGTAATTAATGTTTTGTGGGACTTTAGTTTTAATAACAATAAAAATAAAAGGTATTTTTAACCTATGTTTTCCCTTTCGGTCCGTAGACTCTTTAAGCTTTAATAATAACTACTTACGTAAGGCGAGATTGAATAATTTTTTATTGCGCTAGTGTGTTTTTCATTGTGGAGCAATAGGTAATTACATAACAGGTCCTGTTACACGATTACGCCAGGTCGACCGTGGAACTACACTGTCTCACAGAAGACCAGCGAATTAAAAGTATTGACACTTTGGCATTTGGTTCTGTGAGTGAGGCAACCGGAGCGGAGCGGAACGCCTGCAACATCTCTGATGTTGGATGCCCAGTGATGATGTTTTGGGCTTACTATAAGGTGAACGGCATCCTCATTAATCCTCCAGTGGACTAACAGTAAAAACACTGATCAGTTCCTAATCTCTATATATAAAAATGAATTGCTGAATGTGTGGCTAAGCGCTAATCTCGAGAACAGCTGAACCGATTTCGCTAATTCTTTTTTTATAATATTCCTTGAAGTACGAGGATGGTTCTTACGGAGAGAAAAATTTAAAAAATTGCCTGAAAAAGTCTAAAAACAACAATATTCTATGTTCCCATACAAAAGATTCGTAATAAAACTTAAAAGTCAATTTGAACTTTAATACCATACTATAATGTTTAAGTGTTCGTGTAGGGGTTCCGGGAAGGCAAAACAAGTGACTGTGGTAAAATGTACTTGAAATGTAAACGTCTCTTTGCTGTGCATCACTACATAGTATAAAATAAAGTCGTCCCGCTGTCTGTCTGTCCCTATGTATGATTAGATCTTTAAAACTACGCAACGGATCTTGATGCGGTTTTTTTACTAGATAGAGTGATTCAAGAGGAAGGTTTATATGTATTATACATTGCACCCGTGCGAAGCCGGGGCGGGTCGCTGGTATAAAATAAAAATGCAGAGCATGACGCACTAGCTGAACAGTTTTATTT